ACAAGTCAATATGAGGCTCTGGCTGGCTTCAAACTCACAATCATCCTGGCTCAATCTCCTGAGTGCTGGGATTGCAGGTGTGTACCACCAGGTTTAGAATTTTCTCCTAAATTCTATCCACTTCTATTAACCTTCCCTCTGTAGCAATATGGTAAATTCCATATGGCAGTCTCTTGTCATCTGCAGGGAAGTTATGTTGCTTTCTTCTCAGATTAAATGACCCAGTGCTATTTTTTTTACTGGTTTGAAAATTTCCCAGCATCCCAGTTGTGGTATGTAACTCATGAAATACTTTCAAGGCCCAGTGGTACAACTATTCACTTTTATCTGAGCCTTAACACACTAGTGGCTCATATTAAGTTTGTGGTCAACTAAAATTCTGTCCAGCTAGATCTTCTCAATCCAGCACCAAGCATTTAAATATTTAAATCTAGTGTAAGTCTAGATATTTATCTACTCTGGCTGCATTTCCTTGTCAAGGTCATTTTGAACCTTAATTCTTGGTGTTATCTGACAGGAGAGTCGCTAAACCTCTTCATCCAAGCCAGTGACAAAAACTTGGGTATGAAAGAGCACTGACATGTTATCAATACTAACCCACTAATCCCACCTCCTCCCTCCTCCTTTTTAACAGCGTTTAATTAAGGTTTCATTATACTATTATAATACCCACATGCAACACACCTTGATCACATTCACCCTCATCACAGTCTCAGGTACTCTGTTATAGTAACACAAAATGCACTAAGACAAAGGGTCTGGAATAGCACCTGCCACACTATAAGCTATATATTTAGATGTATGATGGAATTATCATCTTTTTTGTGGTAGTAGGATTTGAATTCAGGGCTTGAACTTGTTAGGCAGATGCTCTATCACTTTGCCAGCTTCCAGCCCCTTTTTTCTCTTGGTTAATTTTGAATAGGGTCTCACTTTTTTGCCTAAGCTGGCCTGGACTACAATTCTCGTATTTTAGGATTCCTTCCATAGCTGGAATGACAGGTGTGTGCCACCATGCCCAGCTTTTTCCCATTGACATGGGGTCTCACCCTGTTTTTTTTTTCCCAGGTTGGCCTGGAAACTCAATTCTCCTGATTTCAGCTTTCCAAGTAGCTAGGATTACAGGCATGAGCCATCTGCACCTAGAGGAATTATCATTCTTAATATCTATTTTTTTAAATTATTCATTTATTCACATGTGCATACATTGTTTGGGTCATTTCTCCCCTCCCCCCCCGCCCCCCTCATCTACCCTCTCCTCCCCTCCCCCCCTCAGTTCGAGGCAGGTCCTGTTCTGCCTTTATCACTATTTTTGTTGAAGAAAAGACATAAGCCTAATAAGGAAGACAAAGCATCACCTCCTCTCACCTAGTTTTTCAAATAACAGCATAATACAATGGTTAGTTAAGAGTTGTGCTCTGAAGTCAGGAAGACTTGGATTTGGCTTCCCCATAATATTATGTTGGAAAGTCACTTGAGTTTCCTTATCCATAAAATGAAAGTAACAATGGCATCTACTCCATGGGAGTTGCTAGAATTTAATGAAAATGAATGTCACACACAGGTTACTCCAGAGGCACCTGCACACCCATGTTTATTGCGGCACTATTCACAATAGCCAAGTTATGGAAACAGCCAAGATGCCCCACCACCGACGAATGGATTAAGAAAATGTGGTATCTATACACAATGGAATTTTATGCAGCCATGAAGAAGAATGAAATGTTATTATTCGCTGGTAAATGGATGGAATTGGAGAACATCATTCTGAGTGAGGTTAGCCTGGCCCAAAAGACCAAAAATTATATGTTCTCCCTCATATGTGGACATTAGATCAAGAGCAAACACAACAAGGGGACTGGACTATGAGCACATGATAAAAGCGAGAGCACACAAGGGAGGGGTGAGGATAGGTAAGACACCTAAAAAATTAGCTAGCGTTTGTTGCCCTTAACGCAGAAAAACTAAAGCAGATACCTTAAAAGCAACTGAGGTCAATAGGAAAAGGGGACCAGGAACTAGAGAAAAGGTTAGATCAAAAAGAATTAACCTAGAAGGTAACACCCACGCACAGGAAATTAATGTGAGTCAACTCCCTGTATAGCTATCCTTATCTCAACCAGCAAAAACCCTTGTTCCTTCCTATTATGGCTTATACTCTCTCTACAATAAAATTAGAAATACGGGCAAAATAGTTTCTGCTGGGTATTGAGGGGGTGGGGGGAGAGGGAGGGGGCAGAGTGGGTGGTAAGGGAGGGGGTGGGGGCAGGGGGGAGAAATGACCCAAGCCTTGTATGCACATATGAATAAAAAAAAATACATTAAAAAAAAAAAAAGAAAATGAATGTCATACACTTTTCATAATACCTAGCACGTACAGTATGTGCTCAGTGAATCTTTGTTAAAAAATCCTTTTTTTACCCTTTAGTATTTTGGTTGGCACAATTTAGACCATACCACCTTCTTTCTGACAATGTTTCAGGTTTGTGATTCTTCTGACATGTACCTTTAGGTATATGCCTCTCTCCATTTTGCAGATGTCCTGTGATTTGCAGACTGTTATGATTTGAATATGAAATGTCTCCCAAAGGCTCACATGCTGAACACTTTGCTCCCAGCTGGTGGCACTATTTTGGGAGGTTCTGGAAACTTTAGGAAGTGAGGCCTAGATGGAGGAAGCAGGTGAGTAGGCAGTGCCTTTGAAGGTTATAACTGGTCCCCAGTCCCTTACTCACTCTCTGCTTTCTGTCCACCATAAAGCAAAAAAGCTCCTCCATGCCACAGGCTCCTGCAACCATGTTTTACCCAAGCACAAGGGACAAGCAACCATGGACTGAACCTTCTGAAACTATAAATAAAAATAAATCCTTACTTCCTTAAATTATTCCTGTCAGGTATGTTGTCATAGTGAGCAGAAAGCTAAGAGATACTTCTCTTAGCATTCCTCCCCCTTTCCTTTCTCCTTATACTATTTGTGGTTATCATGTCAAACTTTTAGAAATCTCTCTGCTTTGTGAAACATTTTTTGTTGGAGCCTGTGGTCATGAGATTGTGTCTGTTTTTCTGAAATATTTGCTTTCTAAAATACAGAATTTATACTCAATAAATTTTTCATTGATATTAGGTGATTTTTCTCTCAATTCTATCCCTTCTATTTCACCAATTATTGGTAATCAATTTCTGTATGCCTCTCTTATCTTTCCCTATTGGATATTTCCTTTTGCAAGGCATACCTTCTAATAACCATTCTTTTGGTGAGGCATATTCTTTTGGTGCAGTATATTCTTTCAAAATATTAAACTTTCTTTTCTATCTGTACTGCAGTGGTATATAAAAACATTTAATACAAAGTATTATTCCCAGTTTTATTCCTTCCTGCCATGTTTCCTCCTAAGTTATCTGTTTTCGTAATTTTATCTGTATCTATTTTTCCTTCTCCTCTTATAAATTTAGTAAGCCCCTAGCCAAACAGCAAGAGAAGTTACTCTACCAGAAGCTCACTAGTATGTCACTGAACAGGGCAGTTCAGCAAGCCAATGGTCTTCAGATACCACCCAATTCTTTTTTTTTTTTTCCTTGAGACTGGGTCTTACTATATAGCCCAGGCTGGTTTCGAACTCCCAATCTTCCTGCCTCAGCCTCCAAAGTGCTGAGATTACAGGTATACTTCACCACACTGGCTACAACTCTTAATCATCATATCTATCCTTATGCTCCAATGTTATAAGCATCAAATGGAGATATAAAAAAGATCAGGGCAGGAGGTGTGGCTCAAGTGATAGAATGTCTACATCACAAGTACAAAGTCCTGAGGTTCAAACCCCAATACCACCAAAAAAAAAAGGATGGGATCAGTGCCAGCCTTATAGAACTTCACAACCTCTAGATTTCTTCTAAGTATTTCCATTAATATATAAGAAAAATATTTTGACTGTACTATAAATTTTAAGATAGGATATACTAATGACTGCTTGGTGCCTACTACACATTAGACCAGAGGACACACACTTTAGTCCCTGGACCAAATCCTACCTACAGACTACTTATGAATGGTTCATAACTAAAAGTAGTTTTTATATTTTTGAGAGATTATTTTTAAAAAGAAGACTGGGGGATTTAACTCAGTGGTAGAATGTGTTTAGCATATGCAAGGCTAGCACCACCACAACAAAAAGGAACATAAAAAGATGTGACAGAGACCACTTGTGTCTTACAAATCCTAAAATTTATCACCTACATCTTCGTAGAAAAAGATTGCTGTCCCCTATATTAGACACTTAAATATTTGTTAAAAGAGGAGGTGGGTTGAGCTGGGGGTGTAATTCAGTGGCATAGCACTTGCCTAACATGTGCAAGGACATGTGTTGGATCCCTAAGCACCACATAAAAAAAAAAAGAAGAGAAGAGAAGAAGAAAGAGATGATGAGGTAGGGGGAAGGAGCTATAGGAATAGGAAAGGAGAAGGAACACATGTTGGAGATAACTGCAAATAGGAAAACCTGTCCAATAAATATGCATATCTTTAAATTGTTCCTTGGCTTTCATTTTTGCAACGTTCCAAGATAAACTAAGCATCTTTCATTAGCATATTTTATATATGCTAATACATTATATATATATATATATGCGATACATATAGCATACATATGTATGGAACTGAGCTAGTCTTCAGTCATAGGTGCTCCTAGGAGAATTAAATTTAAACCTTAATTGTATCCTTCTCTGACTACCCTATGTAATATAAATGTTAGTCATTTGCAAGGTATTACCCACTGTAAGGTGTCAATTCACAGGTGTGTCCCTTCATACATATATCCTTTCCTTCTACACAGCACTAAGTAGCTAAGCAACTTGACAACATTTTGTTTGTTTCCATGTGAGTGACTAAATACATACTTCTCCAAATTTAATCATGTAGAATATACCACAAGCTCTGAAATGAAGCTCTTCATACTAAAAGATGTTTAGCCAAAAGAGAGAAGTCATATTCTCTGGTAATATTAAAAAGCAGTATCTGACCTATTCATAGCACTGTCTAACAAACACATGCAAGGGTGTACCTGAAAATGCTGCTCCATCACTTGGATTTTTCCCTGGTCTGGGCACTTTTTCAGAGCTCGATCTGCATAATGGAATAGGATTTCTACCATCTGTAATGAAAACAGTCTTGCATCAAAATCAAATGTATCTCTAAAGTTTTTCAATATTTAATGTGTGTGGTATGCCTAAATAATTCCAAGTCAAGTTTTATTATTATATTAAAAATACAATTCAAAATTTAAGTGGCTTTATTTCCTAAACTGTTTTTAGTACTAGCCTAATTTCTTTCAGCCCTAGGAGCTGGTCCCAATTTTCTAAGCTTTCCTAAGAAACATTTCTATGTCCTAGACCTCCCCCACAGTATTCTATATTGCTCTGGAGTTTAGTAATCTTCTGCCTCAAGTCTTTCTCTAAAGAGCCTGAGCGAGTAGAAGACCATTCATGAATTCTGATTCCCAGAATTTCCTACTCCTCTTTACTGTCTTTTGTTACTTTATTATTTTATTATCTTCATTAACAGAGGGAAAAAGAGTAAGGAAGTGGTAAGATGGAAATTTAAAAAGAATTCAAAAGGACATCAGGGAATTATAACCTGACCTACTTTTTTTATATACTATCTCTATGACTATAGCCATTTACCTAATCATAAAGATATTAGCAAACATAAGAAGCGAATCTGTACTGCACCTGAGTAAAGACCCCATTAAAATACTCACCCGATCTGCAACAACAGCCTTTCGCTTACTGGCATCCCCTGATAATCCTGCAGAGAGACAGTCCAAAATGAAACAAAAGTTAGTGCACATCTCCAGCAGTGAACCTGGTGTTTTGGTCTTCTTTTCACAACCCATGCTAACAACAGACATAATTATAACAAATCTTAGTATCAAGATTATGGGTCTATTGATCAGCTAGCACATCAACGTACTTCTTGTTTGTTCTCATAATGAATTTTCCTCATTAAAGAATTTTTTAAAGTGACATGTCAATTTCTATACACTATATTTATTTATTTACTTACTTACCCACAACTGCTTTTGCTTTTCCTTCATGAAAAGACCATGCAAGAGCCAAGGCTTCTGTAAGACAATCTTGTTTCAGGAGATGATCCACTCTCTAAAATGAATAAATGAGAGAAGCCAGACCCCTTTGTCTGACCAACTACTTATAATAATTCCTATTCTAGCTGCTACCTTTCCAGAATTTGTTGGTTGGGAGATAAAAATTATTTCAGTAACATTGAAACATTATTTCAATATTGGACTTTCTCTGCAGGATTACAAGATGTTGCCAGGCTAGTATGGACAGACACAGGGGCCTAAATACGAAAAGGGGAAAGAGCAGAAATGTCACTAGAACAGAAATGTCTACTTGTTTATCACAATATTCACTCACCCACCTCTTCTAAGTTTATTGGAGGCAGCAATACACCAGCTAAAGGAAAATTTTAAGACTCCCTTATAAGTACTTGGGCAATATAACTAAACTCCAGTCAACTATATGTGGAAGTGTCATCTGGTATTAAAAGGTAGAAGCTGGTCTTTATTTTCTCTTTCCTCATTCCTGGAATGTAAACTTAACAGTTGGAGCTCTAGCAACCATACTGGATTATAAAAATGACCTTAAATTAGAATTCAAACACAAAGATGATGGTACCTTTAAGACCAAGGAGCTCCCACACTAGCTATGGTCTACTTACCTCCAGATTGCTTTTCCATGACAGAGAAATTCTGTTGAAGCCACTATTGTTTTGAATTTCTTGATAATCTGTACCCAAACCTAATTCTAACTCATACGGTTTTAGCAAATCTAATACCTAACAGCTAGAATAGTTTTATGTACACTTCTGAAATTAAAAAGCATAAATCCAAATAATATGTTAAAGTCAAAAGAAAAATGTGAAGATGCTATTAATTCAGTAATTCTAACATGTAAAATTGCTTTGAACTCACCTCCCTCCAGCTCCTCAGCATCATCACGTAAACAGACTGGAAAATAAACAGAAGGAAATTAAAATTATCTTTAACAGAATTGTTGGGAAGACACATTTGTCCCAGTCCCACATCTCACTTTAAATCTCTAAGTAAAAACATTTCATGTTACAGTTGGAAATTATCTTTGAACTTATTAAAGGATCTTCAAGTGCCTACAATGAAGAGTAAATCAAACAAACATTCAAAGATCAACAAGTCTATAGCCCAAATAGTCAAGTCCATGGACAAGGAAGAAGGAAAACACAAGCTCATCCCATATATAGACTTGGCAATAGTTTAATAATGAAGAAATGTTTTTCCATTTTAAGTTGAAAAATAAACAAAAGCACAGAAAAAAATCGATATACAGAAAGTTTGTATTCCAATGATTCAATTCTAAATCAAATCCCTCAATGCACTGTGATGTATCCTAAGCTGATCTAACTCAAAGATCATTTTAATTACATGACAAATGTATATGATTAGGCACCTTCCCTGTCATTAAAACAAATGTTAAGGAAGGTTTTGAAAGTATATCCCAGAATCAAGAAAATAAACATACCATTAGCACCTAAACAAAAGTAAAAATAAAAGTGGGGGGAAAAAATTAACTAGGAATCATGACTAACTATTACAAGTTTTGGATCAGGACCAGTGTTCACTTTACAATACACTGCCTTCTTTACCATCATACCCCTTCAGGTCCACCTATTCTGATACACCAAATACACAAAGTGAAAGAACTTACTTTTGTCCCCAAATAAAAGATCTGACCACCATAGCTACTGATGGATTGGTAACAAGCCTTTTCTCCAACCAAAGCCTGTAAAAATAATAAATAAATAAACAAGGTAAAAATTACATGCACTAGAAATCTCATAAGTTTTAAAGAATGTCAATTATAGAGACATTTTAGGTCAACACGGTTTCATCTTATAAGTGACTGGAGAAAAAATGTTGATCAATTGCTACTCTGACAGAAATGACAGAAAAGACAAAATGCAAAAAGCAGCTCTTTACTTTTTTATTTTTTTCACAATAACACAGAAAAGGGAGGAAACATACCAATTTGTAAATCTAAAGGGCAGTCACTGCTTCTGGCAAGGAATACGGCTGGCTAAAAATGGTACATCCAAGATCTTTGAAATAAATGTCAACATAAAACACAAGAGGAAACAGAACAACAAAGCAACATAGTATACGGAAGTCAGCCCATAGCCCAGCAAAATAGAAAAGAAACTCACTGATAATCTGGGTTGCAAGCATTGGCTGTGCCGCTGGGTATGACATTAAACAAATTTCCAACCTTCGACATTCAATTTTCCCAACTTTGAAAAGTCTTGCACACTTTTTGCGAGACTTACATATGTTACCATTTATAAATATGCCGAAATATGTGTGGTCAATAACTGATAACTATGATGTTTGTCAACTTCTTACTATGAGAACTTAAAAATGCATATAAAACAAAGAATAATATAATTAATCCCCGAATGTATCTACCAACTAGCTTCATCAATAATCAATGAGACCATCTTGTTTCATTCTATATTTCTACCACTCCCCGGCAACATAGTATAATGTTAAAGGGAATTCCAGATTCAGAATATTTTATTTATAAAAATTCAGTGTATGTTTTTTAAAAAATGAGCTTTTTAAATATGACCACTATTCCTTTAACATACTTTAAAAAATTAACAATCATTTCTTAATATCAAATATCTAGCCAGTCTTTGGATTTCAAATTGTCTAATAAATGTCAAATGTTGAAGATTTTTTGTTTGTTGCTTGTGTTACTGGGGTTTGAACTCAGTTTTATGCTTGCTAAGCAGGAGCTCTACAGCTTGAGCCAAGCTTCCAGCCCTTTTTGCTCTGGTTATTTTGGAGACAGGGTCTCACTTATTGCCCAGTCAGGCCTGGACCACAGTCTTCCTATTTATGCTTCCTGCCATAGCTAGAATGGCAGGAATGAACCACCATGCCCAGCTATTAGTTGAGATGGGGTATCATCTGGACTAGCCTCTAACCATGATCCTACTGATCTCAGCCTCCTGAGTAGCTACAATTATGAGCATGAGCCACTGTGCCCAGCATAAATGTTGAGTTTTTGTTGTAACAACAACTTTGTACAATGTGTGAGCATTTGACACAGTTCCCTCAAAACCTTCCCAATGGTTCTTTCCCTGATCTTGGGAAGCTTCCTTACATGCATCTCTGAGCAGTAATTAGCTGAAGACTCTAGAGAGACTCTTTGATAGTGCTCTCCTCTCTAGCACTACTCTGTCCCACAAACACAACCCATCTCTGTCTTCCTGCAATGTCAGATCTGTCTCCTCAAAGCATATAGAGTCCTCCAGACTACACCTGGGTTCCTCCTCCCTGAGCTACAGCCCAGAAACCCAGACAGCTAGAAGCTAGGAAAACCACAGAGCTCTCATCATTTGTTCCCTATTTGGTCCAGGACTGCTATCCATCATTTCTGACGTTCAGTGTCTTGGGAACTACTGTCTCTATTTTTCCCAATTATTATAATTATTACTATTATTAATTTTGGTTAGTTTGGGCAGAAGGGTAAATCCAATCCCCCATTATTCCACTTGGCTAAAAGTGCAAGTTCAAAGTCTAATCATATTTTTAGTAACCACTCAAACACAAGAAAATACATAGGTTTAGGACTATTACTTTAGCAAATTCTATTGCACTATCATTTCTTATTCTTGGTTCTTAAATTGTGGGGCTGGAATATTCTTTGTATATATTTTATGCTCTGAAGTTACACTAATGAGAGATATTTGAGCAATTCCTACACATCATGCTATGCACTCATTAAATAATATCATCATTACTATTTTTTTCAAGAAATTATCCAGGGATATCTCAGAATAGTCTACTTTTCTACTTAACAATTAATGGTTTAAGAAACATGAGAACACAAATCCAAGGTGTCTAACTATAAAGTACCTATATAAATTTCATATGGCCTTTATTGTAGTTGCCTATAACAGAGTAAAATTAATATAAGATGATAACTTTCATTTGTGTCCAGGTTGTTATATTTCATCTATCACCTGTTCCTAAAAAATCATCCTCCTTTCTCTCAAAGCCATCTTTGCTTTTCAATCCCCAGAGGTACTGCACCTTGTCAAGCCTCTACCATTCATAAGCCTTGTTATGTCACCTGTCTCTATTATTTATCCCTGAAATTTACCAGGCTTATTACCACCAATTAAACTTCCTAAATATTTTGATTTTATGAAAAGTTCTTTCTCACAAATTTTCAACTTCACTCTTCTTCAACATAAAAGTCAGAACTCCCTTGTATTAAGTTAAATTAGCCACATTTGTGATGAGACTACAGGAATTATTGTTTGGACTGATATTCCTGAATATTTACAAATGTATCTACATCCCTTCAGCCCAGTGGCTTTTAAAGAAACACATCAAGACAGAAAAGATGTGTCTTGATGTGACAGACACATCAAGAAACAAAACAACAACAAAACACCAAGTTTATTAAAGCAATACTGGGGCAATAGATTACCCTTACCAGTGCTTGGCTAACATTTCCTCCGGTGGCGAGTGACTTGAAGTGGCTGCTATTATAGACCAACTGAACTTCTGAGATCTCCACTGTTTCCAACTCCTCTTGTGTCTGCCGGTCAATCACATGCAGCTTCTCTACACTATCTAAGAGCACAACTGTGCGTGAGTTTATCCACTGCAATTCAAGCACAAAACAGTGAAAATGAGGTCCCATCCGTGTCGCCACTCAAGATCAGAAGAAAGCTTGGCCACTCTGCTAAATTACACTGAGGACCTTATAAATTTAATAATTTACATGGCAGCACAATCACAGCGAGAATTACTCAGTGACAGCCCAGAGAAAACAAAGTTTTGAGTTTTGACTGTGTTAAATGACATTTTGTTAGTGAAAGAGATAACTAAGAGTTGTAATAGATTATAGGATGCATAGGTTTTTACAAGAATTTTTTTATGGCACATTGGCACAAATGACTAGCATAGTGACAAACTTCGCAATTCTACTTTTAATATTAATGAAACAAAACAGCAAATTAAACCTCAGAAACCTAGCTGGTCAAGGGATGATTTTAGTATGGAAGCATTACATATTTTAAAATAGAAGCAATTTGAAAAACATAGTTCTTTTCAAACTTCCCTAAAAGTTATGAGAGTTCTTTATCTTTCTATGAATTGTTTTGCCTGAATTCTCTTTAATAACTTTTAAGTACTATTATCATTTTTAAAGTGTTAATTTAATTTTTAAAAATCTTAATGACACCATTTTGACAAAAAATGTATAAAATAATTTCATATAAATTTTTTAAAGTTACCAATCCTTCTTCAGAAAGTAAATGATATCTTAAAACCTGGTCAATTGGAATTTGGAAGTCGCCAGAACAACGATCCCCATGTACCCTCTCTGATACTCATGCTCTTTATTTGTATGATCTGTGCCATGTTGTCAGAGACGATTTGCATAGTGCCATATCAAAGATAACCAAATCAAAAATGGATTTTCTTTTAACACATGCTAAAATTAAACCCTATACTGTATAGTGGTCACTATAAAAGAAGGGATTGTCCTTATCTGGAATGCTCAGGACCAGAAGTGTTTTGGATTTCGAACTTTTTTGGATTTTAAAATATTTGCATATGTAATGAGATATATTGGAAAAGGACCCAAATCTAAACATGAAATTCATTTATGTTTCATATACAGTAAACCTGCATTTTGACTATAACTCGTCTCATGGTGTCAGGTGTGGAATTTTCCTAAAGTGGATCATGTTGGCCCTCAAAAAGCTTTGGATTTTGGAGCATTTTAGTCTTCAGATCTTCAGATTAGAGATGCAAGTAAGCATTAATTTCTAAATCAATAGTCTATGAGTGAGTTTTAAAATGCAATATTGGCCAGAGTGGTGGTGTATAACTGGAGTTCCAGCACTTGGAAGGCTGAGGTAAGAGGACAGTTTGAGCCCAAGGTTGTAGAACGGCCTGGGCAACATACCAAGACTCTGTCTCAAAAATGCAGTGGGCAAATAAGTTAATAAAGAACATATTATAAAGAAAATATCTTAACTATATCATATATTTTCTGAGTAACTATATATTATTGAGTCAAAAAAATTTTTTTAGTTTTTTTACTGGAAAAATGAACCACTTCCTTATATTCAGGGTTGCCCATATTCATGTGTATACACGTTTCACTGGAAAGCAGATATTGATGTGCTAAAATCAGAAACTTAAAAATATTCTATTATTCTCAAAATTAACACAGTATTTGAAAAAGATAAAATGAAATTTGATACAAAAAGAAATCCTTAAAAAAAAAAAAAAAAAAACAAGATGCCTTTTAGGACGCAGATGTAAGATAGAAAACTTGACAAAGTTTTTAGCCACAAGAAAAGAACAGGACTCAAAAGTACCTGACCTTTTAGGATAAGCTCAGAAGTATAAAAAAGTGTTTATACAGAAAGAAGGGTAATGATCCTGGAGAAATTCCTAAATTCTTCTGAACCCAAACTCCCTTTTTTTTAATGCTAATCAAGGCATTAAAGAAAATGTTGCCTGATCTTACCAGTGCTCAGCAGGTCATCAGGCCAACAGGCAATGATTATGGGGCATCATATCAAATTCAGACTTTATTCAATGTAAGTAGGCTTTCACTTGTGTGTTATGTATATGATCCTACAAGTAATCCTGGTAGCTTTAACGTACCATGGGTTCAGAACAATTTCATGAAATAAATGGAGATATTTACTTTGAGTAATACTCACAGTAAAGTTGATGAGGTCATAGTATAAGTGAAGGTGCTTTTGCTTAGTAACATGGATTGCTCCAGATTCATCTCTCTTAACCTGATGATGAAATGAAAACAACCTAAATATTAGCTACTGTTTAAAGGACTTTTAAAAGTATTTAATTAGACACCATCTAGAGTCTGATCCCATTCAGTGTGAATAAGCCAAAAATATCGATAGAGACATTTTTATATAAATAAAAACAGTCATTTGCTCCATGATCTGTAAAAAAAATCCAAGGCTTATATGGCTAGTGGTATAGTTGTTAATACTGGCAAGTGCTGGGAGTTTTACTCTGTTATAACTCAAAACAACCTACACCATCCTATCAATAATTGTATTTAGCTAGAGTATAAATGGGATTGGTGGCATGGTGTGATAAAGCCAAACAAAAGTTCATTAAAAAATAAAAAGCTACTTGGGAGGCTGATAGGGGAGGACCGTGTCAGACCAGCCTGGGCAACTTAGTGAGACCCCTGTCTCAAAGAGGAAGAAGGGGGGAGGAAAAGAAAGGAGAAAGACAAGAAGGAGGAAGAGGAGGAGGGGAAGAAGAAAAAGATGAAGCAGCAGGAGCAGAAAAAAGATGAAGTGGCAGAAGCAGTTGCTGCTATAATGACAAAATTAGACTTTTCTGAACTATGATACTATTATAGCTCACACAGCCCAAAATTTCCCACAAGAAACCTCTTATGTCAATATTTTATTTATATATGCATACATAAACAACCTATAATCCTCAATCATCCCCATAACTTACTTTCTCCATTTCTACTCTAAGGTAAAAGGATCTGAAAAAGAAAAATAAAGCATAAGGTACACCTAGCCACCTGATACTCATGACATTCCATTCAGACTATGTTCTTTTTCATTATTTTTTGGCAATACTGGGGTTTGAACTCAGGGTTTCACACTTGCTAAGTGCTCTACAGCTAAGCCAAGCCTTCAGCCCTTTTTGCTCTATTATTTTGGAGACAGAGTCCCACTTTTTTGCACAGGCTGGCCTGGCCTGCAGTCCTCCTATTGTAAGCTTCCCACCCTTGCTGAGATGACAGGCACATACCTCTTTTCTGTTGAGATGGGGTATCTCACAAACTTATCTGCCTGGGCTCATCTGGCACCACAATCCCCCCAGTGTCAGCCTCCCAAGGAGTTAGGATTACAAGCATGAGCCATTAGTGACTGGCCAGCTTACTTTCTTTTTTTCATACCTCCCATAATAGTGTGCTGTAGGCCTTTCTCTCAAAATCTTAATTCCTTTTTGCATACTGGTTCCATCACTTGCAGGGCTGACTTTACTTGACACCTTAACAAAAACTTGAGATCACTTAATGTGAGCCCCATGGGCCCTCCGTAGAGTGCTGCCTTCACTTCAATGGATTACTTGCCCCACAAGAAAGGATGCTCTGGCAAAATGAACATGAGATTCAGAGCCATGTGTTTAAGTTTAAGTTCTACTATTATAGCTCTGTGATCAAGGGCAATTACTTATTCTTTCTCAGTTTCCACATCTATAAAATGAAAATAAGATAGTACCAAATTGTTTTATATGTTGCATATGTTAAAGTGTTTCATAAACTGGAAAGAGCAAGGCCAGCATTACTTATTTCCCTATGATTTTCTAAAGCCCTTGAAGAAAACCACCTCACCCATACAAACCCTAAATCCTGCCCTCTCCATCACTTTCCGGCATATTCAATCCCTTTTTTTAAAGGCCTTATCCTTTTGCTCCAAACACACTTCTGACTTCTCCATCTTCAAATAAAAATTTTTATAAAACAAAAATAAGCAAAAATCTTTCCTTGTCTTACTTCACATAGATACTGTTTAAACATACTCCTTCTTCTTGCAACCAAGCACTACGACTGTACGAGTTTGTTCTTCTAAAGACCCGTTTTTATGAACTATTTCTTATTATGTCCAATGGTCTTCTCTTTAGTCTACTTCTTCTGTGATCTTACTCTAGTACAGGCATTACCTTGGAACTGATATTGTTCTGAAGGCTTTCTTCTGCTGTCTTCTCTGTGATGTCATACTGCCCCATTTCCCTTCCTAGCTCCATGTGCCTTTATGGGAACTACATTTCTGGTTTCCTTTTCTTTTTCCTCTCCCTTGCAAGAACAACCACTAGGGTCATGTGCTGTATAAGTTGAATAAGTGTCCCCTAAAGGCCTATGTATTAAAGACAGTCACTATTGGTGGAATCTTTAAGAGGCAGGGCCTTCTGAGAGGAAGTGAGGTCACTGGGGGCATGCTCTTGAAAGGGATATGAGGCTCCAGCCCTTTCCTCTCTCTTTTTTGCTTCCTGGCCACTGTGAAATGAGCAGCTTTATTCCACCACAAAAGCCACAGGGCCAACTGACCAGAAACTGAAAGCTCTGAAATTGTGAGCCAAAACAAACTTGTTCTCCCTCCCCCTTTTTCTGGTAATACGTGTGTTTGAACTCAGGACTTCACACTTGCTGAGCAGGCACTCTACCAACTGAGCCACTCCCACAGTCCTTTTTGTTTTCACTGTTTTTCAGACAGAGTCTCACATTTTTGTCTGGGCTGGCCTCAGACCACAATCCTCCTACCTAAGGCCTCCTGCATAGCTGGAATCACAGACACTCACCACCTCACCCAGATTATTTGATAAGATGAAGTCTCACCAACTTTTTCCTCCAACTGTGATCCTTCTGATCTCTGCTTCCCAAGTGGCTAGGATTAGAGGTACGAACCATCACAACCAGCTAAAACCTATCCTCTTTTATGTAGATCATCTTAGGTATTTTTTTTTATAGTAACAGAAAGCTGACTAATACCATGCAGGCTCTAGCTTGCGAGTCCCATCTTCACTTTCAACTCAACACGTTGAAATTTTTTCTAATCATTTTATAACCAATCTTCCTTTGAATATTGCTTGGTTCTAAAATATAAGAGATGTGATATTTCATTCATGCCTTTCAGCCCCTAGGTCCAGTAAAATAAGAAGACTTGTCTTCAGACTATCATCCCTTGACTCACTGCAACCAACCATCTTTGTTTATAAGTAACTGCTTTATTAAGAGAGCAAAACCTTCAATTTCTTTCCTATATTCTATAATCTATTCTCTCACTTCTTCCTAAAGATTCTTTCACTGATCTTCTTAAAGTATCACTGAAATCACATCTTTATCACCTTAGTTTCTGAGGAATCTGTGATGGCTCCCCAGTACTGACATAGGCCAGTCTCTATATAATCTAGATTCAGGGGTTGGCAAACTTTTCTGTAAAAGCCCATACAGTATTTTAGACTCTGAAGACCATATAGTCTCTGTCATGCTTACTCAACTTACAACTATTGTAAGAAAGTAATCATAAATAATATGTAAATAAATGGGCATGACTGTGTTCCCCTAAAAGTTTATTTACAAAAACAGGTGGTTAGCCAGATTTGGCCATGGGTCACAGTCTGCCAACTCTTAATTTAAACCCACTACATATATTCAATTTTATTTACTGCCATGGGTTTCTTCCTATCACTAATTCTATAAACATTTATTATCAAGCACACCCCACTATGTACAGGTTCTGTCCTAATGGGTAGAAACACAGCAATACATTTGGTCTCTAGACTTACAGAGGTTTCAGTACAGTGAGGAAAAGAAAAAAAAAACCAAGTACTTTAAAAGTGCTAAATGTGGGCTGGAGGTGTGGCTCAAGTTAGTACAGTGCTTGCCTAGTGGCACAAGTTCAGTCCCCAGTACCACAAGTGAATAAAGAAAAAGTGCTAAATGTTGCAAAAAGGAAAAGGTCTTAACTTGAGTCTGAGCAGGAAGCACTAATTTGGTTCCAGAAGTCAGGGAAGGCAATGTTAACTATGAGCTAGGACAACATGGAAAAGAGCTTTCCTGGTAGAGGTGACCGCATAAATAAAGGCCTCAGGCCAGGGACTAGTTGGGAAGCTACTGCAGAGTCTAGGATAGATATGAATGTGGCTTACATGGGGAAGCAGCCATGGAGAGTCAAAAAAGGCAAATATCAAGAGGTTTTGAAGGTAGAGTCAACAGGATGTGATGATGGAGCCTATCTGAAGGGAGAAAAGTGACCGAAAGATGACTCCTAGGTTTCTGGCTGGAGAAAGTAGGTAGACGGCTGTGTACTCACCTCACTGAGCAAGGATAAGATTGCAGCTGCTGAACTCTATAACTTCAGTTCATCTCCTTTTCCCCCAAATCCTTATAAAGCCTTCTATGCCTTTCCAGAGCATTCTGATCTTTGTGCTCTAATTTATTCAATTTTAAATTTTTATCATATGGTTCAATGCAACTCTTCTCTCTAGTAGTAACAAACATACTGGTTTTGCCTTTTGAGCAGTATCATAAGCAATGTGAAAAACTTATGTTTTATATTCCTTCATATGCTTGTTGTGCCCCAAAAGTGTAGAGAACACAGTAGTTACTCAATGATACTTGCTCACTAATAAATACACAGATACATATGTAGCCATACATAGACACATGTTCACAATCATATATACAGATAAACCATTAATCATTTGTCAGCCAAAGGAGATGGAACTGAGAAATAAACCACAAATGGTTATGGAACTAAATGTGATCAGTTCTTTTCCATGCTAACCATTGAAGCCTTAAATAAAAATTAAATAGGTCACTCTCTCTCCAAAAACTTAGGATAATATGTAGATTTCTTTAACACAATTTAAATTACCAGAGAGTCAGAAGACTATGCTTTAAGACTTTATAACAGATATGCCATCACATTAGATCTTACCAATAGAAAATGAACAACATCTCCTCTGCAGAAGGCAAGCATAGGATTCACATAATTACTCACTGCCACAAAGTGCCAGGCCAGCAATGGGACACTGGAAGGATCCATCTACGTGAAGAGAAGAGTGTGAAAAAAACTCATCATGGTTAACAGAACAAAGTAAAAGTTCTGCTTAAAAACAGCATCTAAAAAGTGTTCCTTAATAAAACCTTTCCCAATTTCTCATAAAAATTCCAACAAAACAGGGACCAACTGGGAAGTATGAAGGAACTTTCTGGGTTGATGATAATTGTCTATATCTTAATAGGAGTTTGGGTTACAAAGTATATGATGTATTTGTGAAAGTTTGGCAAGTGTATACTCAAAATTTATACACTCACATATAAATTAAAGAAAAACCTAAAGAAATATTACACTCTACATATGCATGCTGAATATTTAAGGCAAAGAGTACTGGTTTCCATAAAAAGCAACAGTTTGATGTGTGGACAGAGATGTATATAGGAGCATAGACATGTGATAAAGAAAGTACAGCAAAATGGTGGAATTTAGATGGCAGGTATGTAAGTATTTAATGAAAATTTTCTTCAACATCTCTATTTGTTTGAAAATGTTCATAATAATGTTGGGGAAAAAATATCAACAAAACACAAAAAGATGCCAAGAAATACCATGATGATAAAATCCAAAATTAACCAATAAAGCTAACGTGAGAAACATTAATGGCAAGTTAAGCCAGCTTTGCCATAAAAGAGGACAAACATGATTTTCCTAGTGCCCAGAGATACACTGGGAATAATCGAGGACAGAAGAGTGATCTCCCTCAGCACAGAGGCTACTGCTTTCTGAACTAGCCACAGTTCTATATGCCATCTTGATACCTCTCTCATGCATATATTAGAAGATCACAACTCTCTAAAAACACCAAGCAAGCAGGAAAGGGGAAAGTGGCAGATGAATAAAATACTTGTCCCTCAGGATCTGTGGGGAATTAGTTCCCTGGCATTCCCCCCTCCCTTAGATACCAAAATCCATAATGCTCAAGTCCCTATACATAATGGTATAGTATTTGTACCTAACTTATGCGCATTCTCCCACATACTTTAAATCTTCTGTAGGTTACTAACAATATCAAATACAACATAAGTGCTATGTAAATAGGTGTTACACTGTTTTGTTTAGAGAATAAAGATAAGGAAAAATGTATGTACCTGTTCAGTACACTTGTAATTTTTTTCTGATATTTTTGATATGTGGTTGGTTGAATCCATGCATGCAAACCCCACAGATACATAGGGTCAACTGTGTCTTCTGGAAAATATTGTATTCTGAACAGATCAGAGACAGAAGCCATGGAAAGCATACATATTGGCAATTTATGTTAGATGTCACAGTAGAGTGCACTCTTACCACTACTTCAGTGTCAAAGCAGTAGACAGTATAATCCTGCTTCGGCATGGCTGTCATGTAGAAACAAATCTCCTTCAAACATTAAAAATCAAGCCAGGCACCAGTGGCTCATGCCTATAATTCTAGCTACTCAGAAGGCAGATATGAGGATGATCGTGGTTCAAAGCCAGCCTGGGCAAATAGGTTAGCGAGACCCCATCTAAAAAAACCCTTCACTAAAAAAGGGTTGGTGGAGTGGCTCAAGGTGTAGCCCCTGAGTTCAAGCCCCAGTACTGGGAGAAAAAAAAAAAAATCAAGACTGGGACTCAATACATCAACTTATCCTCCAGCTTTAAACCCAATCAGAGAATTTTATTATCCTCAAAAGGGCAATGAGAAAGGTTAGGAAAATCCATGCATGAAATTAGTGTAACCACAAAGCACCAGGACCGCAATATACAAAGACTGTCAAACTGAGGTTAAAAACAAAAGCCAACTATATGTTCTTTATAAGAGAAAAGCTTAAAACAATAAAGATACAAAAGCTAAGATCTCAAGAGTCCCAGAACCAGCTTATTCTGCTCTGCTCACCTTAAGATAAAGTCCAGACAATGAATTTCAGAGCACTGACTTCTATTCTACCTGGATTTCTGACAATCTCATAGAATTTGCCCCTTATAGGTCATTTCCTCCATCCTCCTGACATAGTACCTCCTTCTGCTGACGAGACGGACAGGCATACTCACCCTCCCATAGGGAAAAGTCATCCACACTTTCAAGGATGGTTTCAATCCAATGACCAGTATCTTTAGGGGGAAAAAATTATTTTCAATATTTACCTTGAAGTTTTCAAATTTCTTGTGTTCAAAGCCTCTAAAGGTTAAGAGCTTCATTTTCTAAACACACCTACCTTTGTTAAGGATGCCATGGCCAATAATGAAAACTGTGTGATGGGATGATCTTTCAGTTCAGGCTTAGAATGCAGAGGCTCAATACAGCAAACTTCACCCTTGGAACCACTGAACAGACATCTAGATTCACAAGTTCTCACTCCCATCACTCTCCTAAAAATGTAATCAAACAATTCAGGATCAATCTAGCCATGATTGAAGGCACTATCCTGTCTACCATGGCCTACTACCAGAGCCTCCTAGCTCTTACTCTTGCCCCCAGCAGTCCAAGCGCAACAAGACAGCAGCATGATCTTTTTATCGTATGGGTCAGATCTGTCATTCTTCTGCTAAAAACACTGCACTGGCTTGCCATTGTACATAAAATAAACTTCAAGCTCATTATTTACGTCTTAAAGGTCCTACTTGATCTGGCTCCTGCCTTCACTCCTCTCCCACTACTGTCCTTCCTGACAACATCATGCTCCAGCCACACCAGGCTTCTTTGCATTGCTACAGCAGAGCCAACCTTGTGCCCACCTCAAATCCTTTGTATCTGAATGCTCACTGGCGTGGAGCACTTCCTCCATATCTTTGCCTTTGTTGATCAGCTCACAGTTTAGCAATTTTTTCAAATGTCACCTTCTATAGAGGCCTTCCTGAGTTATTTTCAAGTGCAGTCCAGTACACTGACCTGGAAGAAACTATTCTTCCCAGCACTCAGATTTACCTGAGTTATTTCATTTGTGTTGGTTTATTACCTCTCTCCCTACCTTCATCCCAACTAAAATGTAAATTCTAAGAATAGGGTCCTTGCCTGATTCACAGCTATAACTCTGGTTAAGCACCTATACTTAGGAGACTCTCAATAAACATTAGCTAAATAAATGAATAGTAATGTTTGCAATTACTTTAGGCTCAATATTTAGAAGATATGAGAAACACAAGAAATAAAGATAGGCATTAACCTTGAAGAATTTCTGGAAACATAATATAAATTGTGTAAGTGTTCTACATTTTTCTTAACTTCAGTTTCATATTCTTCCATACATTTAGACTCTTATTTAAAGAGTAAACAGGGTAATTCTAAGGCAATAAAACCCTTTTTACACTTGGCCATTATATTTATAACTGAATGGGCCTAGGGCCCAAATCAAAATTAGTGAGCTATTCCAGAATAGTAGTTCCCAAGCCTGACAGCACATAAGAATCCTTTGGTGATCAGGAGTCTAGAATCCTGAATCAGACCTACTGAGATAAAATTATGGGGAACCAAGACTAGAATTCCACATGTTCTATAAGCCTCCCTAGGTAATTGTAACACACAGCCATAACCTATTTTCAATCACATGGACTTTCCAGACCTCCTCATGTTCAATTTCAAATCATTAAATGGAGCTAAACTTCCCACTTGTAACAAATGTCCATTAGTCTCTTACTTAAATGTCAATTCAAAAACGGAGCCTCCACTGTCATTGCAAATTGCAAGAGTTGGATCATCTGTAAACTAAACAGAGAAGGAATTTATTTTCTTGTAGATTTTTAAGCAACCACTCAAGTGTTAGGCAGATAACTTAACACTACAAAATTGCGAATATCTACAACATACACATATAGTATTTTGCATGACCTAAATTAGATTTAGCTAATAACTTTAAGCCTACAAATTACCCTTATTTAGGATAAAACTGGCTCAGTATCTTTTAAAAAACTAAGGTTTTGAAAAAGTAAAGCTACTTTTCATCAGAATAAAAGAAAGATACAAACTATGGTTGATTAAAAAAATCCTAAATTCTCTACTTGGCTTTTTATACTAAGATTTTCCAACATGCTGTTAAATGCGTAAGATCATTTGGATACATTTGCAGTTGCCTAGTTTTCAAGAATAAAGACAGAGTAAAAGATACTTGCTATCTCTGGGAAATAAACCTGTCTAACTTTCTTAACAACTGAAGAGTTAATCCTCTCTATATAAAGTAACTTATTATATAACTCCTCCTTCTTACTACCTTCTTGATTGATCTTCCTCTATGGTATGTGTGTGTGTGTGTATATATATATATACACATTTCAACTAATATTACCTACCTGAAAAACTTAGAGGAATAGATAATGATCACAACAATCCTAAGGTCAAATGTGGTGTGGTAAATAAAAGCTATAGGACATAAAATAATAAAACTTCTATCATTTATAGTGACTAGCCTCTCAAAGGCTAGTATTGGTGAACCATCTTAAATGACATGCCTTTTTTACTCAGGGATAGTTAAGATACAGGAGGCAAATTTCTTCTTCCTCGACCCCACACAGGCATAGTAAATCAATCCTCTATCTTTGCTTTCAAAGCCTAGATGAGCAGTCACCAAAGTCGGAAGCATGTATTCTGTGGGTGTACATGAGATGATCCACTGAAGTACAGAAAAAAATAAGAGAACTCGTGTTTGTTCTCATTTTCTACTTCTGTGTATGAGCTTTACAATATGCTTTAAATCAGCACAGTAGTACAATTATATAGTTATCACACAAAGGATGCAAACCCAAATTGTTATTGATGGGATGTAGGGCTAAGTCTGGAGAATGATGAGTAAAAGTGCTGAAGTGCAAGTGGCTGCTGTCAACCCAAAACTTCAGAAATATTCAGTCACACAGCTATTGTGCTTTTAATTTCAGCTGCATCTTTCTCTTTTCCCTCAGCCTTTATTTCTTCTGTTTCTTACTGTTTCTCCCAATAATTTCATTTTTTCTGCAAAAGGATTGACTATTTATTTATAAACTCCACACTTATTCCTTCAAACAAACATTTATTGAGCAGTTACTATGGGTAAAACACACAAAAAAATGACCAACAGATTCTGACTTCAAAGATCTTAATCTATTAAGAGAGATAAGACATATATAAGCAACTAAAACATATTAGAAGTTGGCACATGCCATAGGAAAAGAGGTCAAGATAAGTTACCATTATGTACTCAAAGAAGAAAAATTCTCTCTACTTTTACTTGTCTTGCTTGTTTTCATTGTTACCAAATGCTTCAATGCTGCTTTGTCACAAAAGACATTTCTGTAACTAACCTGGATACACACATATAAGCTCCAGATGCTGCAGACTTTAAAAGGCATGTGTGTGGATAAGAGAGCTCTGCATAGCTAAGCAACAAAATATGCACATGATTAAAATCTAGACGATCTGATTTTAGACTTTCCTAGTTATAGTCCTTTACCTTTTATGCTTCTGAACATTGGCTTGCCAGCATGCAAGAACCAAGGTTCATATGTACTTATAAATGAAACCTCTTAAGTCAGTTTATGTTTTTCGGGCCTGGAAGGAGAAAGCCAAGACTAGGATCTTAACACTCTTCTTTTGGAGCATGAAAGGAAATACACCAGTAGATTAATTTCTGAACATAACTCAAATCCTGGCTCTTTCAATTGGTACCTTGACCCTCCCTCAGAAGACTCTGAATAGCAGGGGGAGAGCACACCAGAACCCCACAATAAAATCTTGGCTGTCTAAACAGAGTAAAAAGAGCTTTTAAAATCTCCTTATGAGTTTTCAGCAGGGTGTTGCCTGTCCTTGTGGCCAGCCTCTACTCTTGGATCACACCAATTTTTGCTGCTCTACCTATGAGACTTTGATAAAATCTGAAGCTGAATCTTTCCACACTAACTCATCTCTGGTTTTAACTTGGAAAAAGATCTTGTTGGGCTCATCAAATAATGTCAGCTTTATGTTAAATACATTTTGGGGACTTCGGATTATCAATATAGATAAATTTACTTTAAGGTGGATACAAAGGCATTCTAATAAAGATAATTAGCAGAAAACAAAGCTATTACCTTGATATGCAATATTGCTGTTCCCGGAGGATGAGCATCTGTTATTGATCTGAGAAGTTTTCCACTCGCCAAATCCCACATGGTGATCTATAAGACAACTCAGTGCTTTAAAAACAAATTTATTGCTCTTTTTTGGACTTAAGTATCCTGCCTGCCTTCTGGCTGAAATAATCTATTCCTTGTCTATAAACATTACAGGCAAAGAACCATAAAGTTAAAACATACCTAGAGGTTGCAGCTCCATTAGAGCATGGAGCCTTTATTCCACCTTCATCTACCCTTCATCTTGCCCAAACCACTTATCCCCTTAAATTTCAAATGTTGTTCTTATACTGAAGGTAAAAGAGATTTCTCTGATAAGTCAATCTGTTTAGCACTGGTAAAAAATTACAGGGAAGGCTTAGTGCCAAACCAGCTAGTGATGCATAAGTCAGAAAATGGGAAAAACCATAACCTACCACTAGTTTCAGAAGTGGAAAGAAAGAAATGCCAAAATAGTTACAAAGGAGCACAGCAATAAAAACAGAGAGAGCAGAATATAATGCATTTAAAAAGTAGCCACAATTATGTACTACTACCATAAGGAGATGGCACATTTTACATAATATCAGTTTATTAAAAAGCTTTTATTTTTAAATGCTCACCATCTCTAGCAATAAAGGAAATGCAAATTAAAACCACACTAAGATTCCACCTCACCCCTGTTAGAATAGCCATCATCAGCAACACCACCAACAACAGGTGTTGGCGAGGATGCGGGGAAATAGGAACCCTCTTACACTGTTGGTGGGAATGTAGACTAGTACAACCACTCTGGAACAAAATTTGGAGGCTACTTAAAAAGATAGACATCGATCTACCATTTGATCCAGCAATACCACTCTTGGGGATATACCCAAAAGACTGTGACACAGGTTACTCTAGAGGCACCTGCACACCCATGTTTATTGCGGCACTATTCACAATAGCCAAGTTATGGAAACAGCCAAGATGCCCCACCACTGACGAATGGATTAAGAAAATGTGGTATCTATACACAATGGAATTTTATGCAGCCATGAAGAAGAACGAAATGTTATCATTCGCTGGTAAATGGATGGAATTGGAGAACATCATTCTGAGTGAGGTTAGCCTGGCCCAAAAGACCAAAAATCGTATGTTCTCCCTCATATGTGGACATTAGATCAAGGGCAAACACAACAAGTGGATTGGACTATGAGCACATGATAAAAGCGAGAGCACACAAGGAAGGGGTGAGGATAGGTAAGACACCTAAAAAACTAGCTAGCATTTGTTGCCCTTAACTCAGAGAAACTAAAGCAGATACCTTAAAAGCAACTGAGGCCAATAGGAAAAGGGGAACAGGTACTAGAGAAAAGGTTAGATCAAAAAGAATTAACCTAGAAGGTAACACACACCACGCACAGGAAATCAATGTGAGTCAATGCCCTGTATAGCTATCCTTATCTCAACCAGCAAAAACCCTTGTTCCTTCCTATTATTGCTTATACTCTCTCTACAACAAAATTAGAAATAAGGGCAAAATAGTTTCTGCTGGGTATTGGGGGGGGAGAGGGAGGGGGAGGAGTGGGTGGTAAGGGAGGGGGTGGGAGCAGGGGGGAGAAATGAACCAAGCCTTGTATGCACATATGAATAATAAAAGAAAAAGGAAAAAAAAAGCTTTTATTTTTAACAAAAAAGCTGTAATAGCTTTTACAATGCTAATTATTAAAACAGACAGATGAATTAAAGTATAAAAATTACAGACTCTATCTCAGTCAATAATAATTATTTTAAAATGTGAACAAAAGCCATACTGAGCAATCTCAGGTTAGCTATAATAGATGTATCATTGCCTAATACCTATTTTGGTCTTCCAAATACTGATCTAAAGATACTAGCTTTTAAAAATTGATTTTAACATTATCTCATGGATGAAAGAAAATTTGCATTTTACCTGTCCTTTAGCAAAGCCACAAAGAAGTCTTGAGCAGTCATTGTTGATGCTGAGGGCAGAAATGGCTCCATATTGACCTCCAACACTAGTGCTACCCAGACAGAGCCGCAATGCTTGATTCTGATCTAAAGAAAGCAGTTTGTAAAGGTAAGTGAAAGGAATGGAAGAGGGCTGGGGGGCATAGCTCAAGTAGTAGAGCTCTTGCCTAGCATGCATAAGGCCCTGTGTTCAGTAACCAGTACCGTTAAAAAAAAAAAAGTGCCAGAGAAGAAATACATTAATACAGTATAGGAATGGGAAGTGGTAAGAATCAAATTAAGAGGAGGAAGTTACATTCATTTAAAAATATATTTATTGAGAATCTACTAAAAGCTAGTTATTGATTAGACGTAAAGAATATAGGGGGAAAAATACCTACAAGGGAGAATACAAAACCTGCCAATGATAAGTCCAAAACTCCATAAGAAACTTTCTCCTCAAACAACCCAACTATTTCTCAGCTGCCTTGCCCTATTATTGTAATTTTGCTGTTTTGAAGATGCTAGGTTACAAGGAATGCCACCTTCTTTTAAAATAGATTTAAAATTTAAAAAATCAAAATGTATTAATTTGGAATTTAATTGAAATTTACACTTATACTATGCATGAAGAAAAAAGTTTACTAAGCAAATTAATAGTGCAAATAAACTTTTGGAGTAAACATTTAAACTACTACAGAAAATCGTTTCAAGTACAATATCTGATATGCTAAAAGAAAATAAATCTCTACTAAATTAAGTCCTTTAAGTGTACGGATCTTGCCTTAATCACCTCTGAGTTTGCAAGGAGGCACTCAAGCATTTATTAAATTTTGCTATATAATAATTAAAAGAAATTTCTCTAGGGTTTCTCTTGAGCAATGTTTATTTTGTACAGTTCATAATTGTACCCACCTGAAAACAATGAGATAAAAAATTAAATGTAAGAAGGCACGCTACAAAATTTAACTGTTTAGGAAAAAACAAAAACAAGCCAACCAAAGAACCTGGAGTTCGCTCAACTCCCCCAACACCTGTGTATACCTCCTTAACTTACTACAGGCAGTTTTTCGATATTTCTGACCTTGCCTATGAGACTGTGACCTATGAGAGCTAAGATCATGAGTAAATTAACACTCAAAAGCTACTTGACAATCATCTGAATAGCTTTCACATTTGCGAATCTACCTTCTAAAAGAGTAAATCTAGCTACCAGAAAGAGCCTAAAGACATTCATTCTTAGGAACAGGGAATAATACCAGATAAGCGCTTTTGCCCAATCCATATGAACACTGTAAGAGTAGTTTTCTCAAACTGACTCTAATAGCACCTCCCCAGAGGAGTTCTGAAACAATTTATGGCTGTACTGCATCTAGCACACAGAAAATACTCAATATTTTTAAAGTCATTTTAGCTTCTAGCCCTCCAAAGTAAACACTCAAAAGGGAATAAACTCAAAGACATACAAGATCTGATGTGTTTAGAAATTAATTATCTTTATTTCACATCAGAAATTATGTAATTATAATCCAGGTGCCAGTGGTTCATGCCTATAATCCTAGCTACTTGGGGGGCTGAGACCTGTCTGGGAACAAAGTTTGTGGACTCCCTCTCAGTGGAAAAAAGCTGGGTGTTGTGGCATGTGCCTGTCTTCCCAGCAGCAGCAGGAAGCATAAAATAGGATTGTGGTCCAGGCCCGCCTGGGCAAAAAGCAAGATCCTATTTCTAAAATAAGCAGAGCAGAAAGGGTTGGAGGTGCAGCTTAAGAAGTAAGTAGAGTGCCTGCCTCAAAGCACAAAGCCCTGAGTTCAAATCCCATACCACAAAAAATATACATACAATTATAGACTCTCTCCCTCCCCTTTTAATGGCACTGGGGTTTGAACTCAGGGTCTCATGCTTGCCAGGCAGGTGCTCTTACTGCGTAAGCTACGCCACCAGACCACAATTAAAGATTTTTTCCCCATTCATACAGACTGGCCTCCCCCTCATTTTTCCTCCCTCCCTCAATTTAATCTAAATTATTAAAACTTCTCTTTATTCTATGATTTTGTCAGGGCCACCTATCCAGTTAGTTAATTATTCATACCTTAATTTACAGACTAATAAGATACCATGGTTGGGCAATAGTAGTTTACATATACCACATCTACAGACAACAGATGGACTAAAAAAAGAGGACAAAGACAGGTTATGAAATTTCATACACAAAGAAGCCCCCTGAGTCTGGGCTACCTGCCTTCCAGGCACAGAATAATGTCCAGTTAGCAGCACCCTGCTGAGATCTTTTGTGATCCTGCTTTGAGAGCCAAACTTACAGAGTTTTAATTTACTAATACACTCACAACTGCTTTCTGATTAAATAAAGCTGATGCTTACATTAGATAACTTAAGAATTCTTATAAGGCAGGAAAAGTATGAGCAGGAGAACTGAGAGGTATGAATAAAACAGAGAATAAGGGTATCACTGAAGAAAAGAGGAAACAGAAATGAGTGGCAATGGAAGAAAGAGGGAAGGAAAGGGGCATACTTAACTTCTAGATTAAAAATCCATATATGACTGCTTTCCTGGCTGTAGTTCCTACATCCTAAAAACTAGTAAGAGAGGAAAGTAAATGATCAACCCTGGTCACTCGAATATGTATTAAATTTATATCCATTAGCTCTGTGTCAATGTAAACATTCTCAATTTTTTTCATTTTATAATGTTTTTGTATCTTATTTTATAATGTCCCTATATAAGTAGCATGACTATGAAACAAGATAACCTGAATCTTAATCCCAATCCTGCTCCTAGAGTTATAGGTATTAAAACTATATATGGGACAATTTAATTTCTCTTAACCTCCCTATCTTCATCTACATAATGTAGAAAACACCCATTACCTCATTGCTTTGCTGAGAATAAATTAGTAAAGTAAGATAGTACACAAAGGGACCAATTCAATGTCTCAAGCCATGAATAATGTATAAAGCCTATAGTAACTCTAAAAATCTAAATTTGAACATTCTTCAAGAATTTCTAGGGCTTGTGGAGTGGCTCAAATGGTAAAGCACCTGCCTAACAAGCGTGAGGCCCTGAATTCAAACCCCAGTACCAACAAAAATAAAAAAAATTTGTTTCCACACACCAAATTTAACCCAATCCTCTACTTCTTTATTCCCAATTTGTTCTAATTACTTCCAGAGAGAATAAAAGAAAGGATCTCTACATCTTAGAAGGAGTCAAATTTAACTGTGTGTGTAGAATTCTGTAACCTGCCAGTATTCCTCACTCTTCAATATTATTCTTATCCTTTGTTCACACTATAATATTCTCTAAGACCAAGGGAGAAGAAGAAATGAGATCACATTAGGAAACATTGCTCACCAATGATTTATTTTATTTTTTATTGGCAGTACTGTGATTTGAACTCAGGGCTTGGTGCTTACTAGGCACACACTCTACCACTTGAGCCATGCCATGCCCCCGCAGCCCATTTTTGCTTTGTTTTTTTAGGTAGGGTCTCAGGTTTTGCCCAAGGCTGATCTTGGACCATGATCCCTCTATGTATGTCTCCTGCATAGCTGGGACCGCAGGTGCAAGCCACCACATCCAGTTTGTGGTTGAAATGGGATCGTGCTAACTTTTTATCCCAGCTGACCTCAATCCACAATCCTCCCAATCTCCGTCCCCCAAGCAGCTGGGACTACAGATGAAAGACACCATACCCAGCTTTTCACCAATGATTACCGTAGAAGCACTTCTACTTAACCCACCTCAAAGAATTAAAAGTTCTCATTCCTTCTATAAAGTTTACTGACTAAAGACCAGGATACAATGAATCTCCAAGACTAACTGGTTACCTTCTAGAAGGTTGTTATTTACTAAAAACAGTCGGTGTTTATTCCCATACCTATTCATTCATGCCACTGTAACGTTACTGTACTTTAAAAATGTAAATAGTACATAAACTAATGAAATACAGCAGAAAAGAAAACACTGTTATTTTTATGAACAAGTGGATGTTTCAGGGAAACTTGGTAAAGAAGAGTTACTTAACAGAACTATTGTGAAATAAGAATGTTGACAAGGTAACAAAAGACTGAAGAAAAGTTTTGATAAAATCTAGGATTTTGCACTCATGGGTTGAATCACAGGTACCTAAATTCTACACGATTCATGATTAATGCCGTTTCTGCCATAAAAATTTGCTGCAGACCCCCCAATTGACAAATACAAGCTCAAAGATAAAGCCCTGGGCACTACCAAAAGATTAGGAAAAAACCAGTAGTTCCCACATACTAAAAATTAGCTAAGAGACATACATTTTCAGTTAAAATAGAAGATATGCATATATTAGTAATTTTTAACAATTCCCTCTTTAACCAATTTTTCAGTTAGCTATTTTTCTTTCATCAGAGGGCATAAACTATAATCAACAGCATACTGCTTTAACATTAAAAAGATTTAAAAAAAAAAACACTCATGCAAGCCAAATTTACTATACCTTTTCCTTTTGAATCCATGAAGAAAAGATCAAAAGGGAGGAAAAAAACCAAATCAGTTCAAAAGTTCAGAGAAAATGCAGGTAAAATTTCAAAGGTATAAGTGGCAAGATTTAGTTATCTGTTGGAATGATATTAAGTTTGATTAATTGATATCTCCAGCGTTTATGATTATATTCAGGTATTGGCTCTGGGAAAAGAAGAAATGCATAATATTCCAATTATAGCATAATAAGTAAACCCATGTTTCAGTTAGATAGAAACAAAAACAATTTCAAAAAGATAATCTACCAGCAGACACTAACAACCAAAAAAAAGGAAAAGGATAGGGAAACATCTTTCTATCTTCTGTAAATTTGAATTTTTGAGGCCCTGTATAAGGTAAGAACCAAGATGCACAAAAAGTTTATACACCTATAATTCCATAAGAATTGGCACCATACCTAAACTTTAGGAAACTTATAATGATTACCATTTTAATGATTCAGATGTCTATTTCAAAGAAAATCTCATGGAACTTAAGCAAGTATAGTTCTTCCTGCTACATTTTTTTCTAGGATCTACAAAGATATTTTAAAGAGATCAGATATAACCCAGACCTCTAGTCTAGACACTTCATATTGTCTGCCGTTTGTTTCTGGCTTTTTAGCATATTTTAATCCATTTGTTAAAGAGCATTGTCCAAACATCTGCTTCCTACAAAGAATAATGAGCAAAATTTATTAACTACACTATTAAATCTCAAAGCACACCAACAATACTATGATTCTTTCTCAAAATGTTCCCTTTAACATACTTTCTTTTCCATAAGACTATTTAAAAAAAAAAAAGATTACTATTTCATCATATCTGTAAGAAAGCTGCCAGGGAATCTAAAAAAACCAGGAAAACAGGCCTAAGGAAATGAAGGAGACAGTATCAAAAGATAATGTATTTTCTCCTCTGTCAGTTTTTAAGTATTCATTTCAATTTGTTTGCAGTAAGCTCTACATGGATTTGATTATAAGCAGTCACATATTCTTAGAACCTCTTGATAAGGAAGGGATATTATGGCAGACAGAGTTGAACAAAAGTGAGTACTGGTAAGTTGACACAAAAAAAAAAACCAACATGCATTCTGCTGACAGACAGACATGTGCATTCTGTTCTATTCTCATACACTTTAGCTCTTCTGTTCTCTCCTGTGTATCTTGGAACTGGCCTCTTTTTCTCACAGAACAGGACGACTGCTTGGAATAGTGGAAATGTACTGATGTAGGATTCTGTATTCCTTAATTCAGAACTTGGCTCTGTGCATGTCACTTAACCTCTCTGGTTCCCCAATCACATCATATGTAAAATAAGAGGACTGAATTAAAAGATCCTGTAAGGGTCTTTCCCACAAATCTAATGCTCTAATACCAATTATGCCATCATTGGAAAATACACATTCTTAGACCTGAAAGGAGACCAAGAGAATAAAACTTTCCTAAAGGGCAATTAGGCAACACATATTAGAAGTCTTTAACATCATTGTCCTGGACCAGGTAATTACACTTTTAGGAATATGCATAAAAATGCAGAAACAAAGATGTTCATTACACTATTATTTGCTTAGAAACAACCTAAATGTCTTCTTGGGGAAGATGGTTAATTAAATTCTGATGAATACATTTGAAGAATACTACATAGCCATTAAAAATGATGTTACAAATAAACATAATTGCACAGAAAGATGTCCATTATAATGAAAAGCAGGTTACAAATTAACATGATCCCATTGGGAAGTATAAATACAGATGTACATGTATAGAAAAAAAGATGAGAAGGTTATACAGAAATGTTAGGGATTGTTGCTGAATACTAGAATTTGATGTTTTATATCCTCAACTTTTTGCTCATTCATATTTTCTAATTTTCACTGTGGATATATCCTATACAAACTATGTAGTAGGAAAAAAAGTATTATTTAAAGAATAAATTCTAAAGTTCTTTCAAGGTGATTATATTTTTGTTTCTATCTTTTTGGTACCCAAAAATAAAACTCTATTATTTTAATCAATCACCTTTAAAAAGACTAGGTATTATAATTACATGTTATATAAAACTTGGAATAATAGAAAATTATAAATGGAAAGTCAAATTGTTCAAAAATACAGAAAATATCTAGTTACCCACTGATATGGTAAATAAAGATACAAGGATCCAGAGATCAAATTATGGCTCTGCTATGAAAGAGCATGGTGGTGCACACCTGCAATCCTTTGGAGGCTGAAGCAGAAGGATCAAAAGTTCAAGACCAGTCTGGGCTACACAGCAAGACCCTGTCTCAAAAAACAAAACAAAAAAATTATCAAGTAATCCTTATCAAACATTCCTTACAGTATCAGTTTTTCCATTTAAAAGAGATGGAAACAATTTAAGAACCAAAAGAGAACATAAAAATGGTCAGGGAAATGTTATCTAATGTTTTGTGGTGCGGGGCGGGGGCGGGGAGGTCAGCAGTACTGGGGTTTGAACTCAGGGCTTCATGCTTGCTAGGCAGGTGATCTACCACCTGAGCCACTCCAGCAGCCCTGTTTTGTGTTAGGTATTTTGAAGATAGGGTCTCACAAACTGTTTGCCCAGGCTGGCTTCAAACAGCAATCCTCCTTATCTCTGCCTCCCAAGTAGCTAGGATTACAGGTGTGAGCCACTGGCACTGGGCTCTAATGGTTCTTAAATGAAACGACAGAACAAAATATTCTGCTCATATACGAAATTCAAAAGCAAAGGACTAATGAAACTGTGATTATTTAGTCTCAGGGAAAAAAAAAAGACAAAATACAACTAATTTCTACATTAGAAATAAAATTATTCATGTTCCCTTCTTAACCAAAAAAAAAAAAATGTAGCTGTAAGCTAAAATTTTTGTAGTTAAGAGGGATTTACAATGGAAATGAAAACAAACTTTTAGTCAGTAAGAGATATAGAAACTCACTCAAAAACCCTAGGGAATCCCTTTCTTTGCAGATCTTTTATAATAACCACTACTGGAACAGAATTTAGAATAAAAAAATCACCACCAACAACTGGAGTAGACAGATTGACAAGCCAAGATCCCTTTCAACTTCTTTTTTTTTGAGTCTGCCCTAAGCCAACAGATATGCAGAAAGCCAACTGATATGATAGCTTATGAATTCATACAAAATGAGGCTGTGAGGGCTAGGGGAGTGGCTCAAATGGTGGAGCACTTGCCTCTACCCAGTAAGGGTGTGTGTGTGTGTGTGTGTACACTACTTTTCATGTTTTGTTCAAGAAAATAAAGTCCAGCATATAAAATGTGTTTAAAAGACACTATAAAACCCAAAAGGATTCTTAATGTTTAAAGGTAGGAAAGTACTTAGAAAATTTACCAAATATTAAAGCCAATCCATGAGATGTACCCACTGCTATCAAACTGGATACTGCCTGAAAACAAAAGGGAAAATGACATTTTAAGACATTACATCAAGGATCCTGAAATGACCACAGTTAAATTTGTTGGCCTGCATTCCTCTAGGCATATAAAAAAAACCCAACTATTATAAATAAGAAGAATTTCATCTAGGAGGCAAAACGGGAAATCAGAGTCAGGATCTTTTACTTCTGAGAATCCTTCTAAATTTAGTCTAAGAAAAAAACACTATCAAAGTATCACACGTTAAACATTACATGCAAAAACATGCTTCTTAGCTTCCTTTAAAGCAATTTTTAAAAAGCAACAGGGTCCAGACAAAATAAAAGGCATTTCTTCAATCCAACCAAGAGTCTCCTAGGAGGTGTGGGAACAGCATGAGAATGCTCTTCTCCAGTTTATCTACAGGAGCCAAAGGCATCAGAAATGTCTAAAACTCAGCCATTGTCTCACCAAATGACTGACTAGTCAGCTGGAAGAAGATGAGAAAAGAGAGCTTTACTGTGTTTTCAATATCCCCAAGCTCTCCACAGTCACTCCACAGATAGACTATTCAGTAGGTTTAGCACTGGAGTCCAGAGCTGTTAGATGTATATTTATCACAAAGTGATTTCACTCTGTGTTGTTTTCCACTCCCTAAGACTGAAGGAGGAGGTGATTTATTTGGGTAGGGTGATACTACACACAAATAAACCTGGAAAAGGCTAATCATTATTTCTGTATCTGCTTCTCAAACAAAAGCCTAAAGAGTAACATAAATTAGAAAAACATCCAACATGAACAAATTTTACATCTGGTGACTGAAAGCAAAATGACTTACGTGATATGATAATGATTCATTATCACAACACATAATGACTTTGAACATTATAAGAATAAATCTAAGAAAACCCAAACAAAAGCTTACTTTTAAAAGGTTAACAGTATACTTACAATTGCCGTGGGCAAGCCAGCATCTACTTTGTCCTAAATAAAATTTTAAAAAAGAAGTATATGAAATACATTCATATTTGAAAACTGAAAGTGGTATAAAGCTATCTTTTCACACTTTGATCTAAACCAATTTAGACAAGAGGTGGAACCTTCATTTTCTCCCCCAACTAACAAAAATTTCAAAAGATGTGAATATCCACAAAATATAAAGAGCATGAGAGTGGATCATTTTATTTCACTAATTGTAATAGATACTACAGGAAGGGTACTGATTATAAACGGAAATCTAAAGAAAAAAGACAGGAAAGAGGTCTGCTCTCCATAATGTAAATAAACTGAAGTACCAAGGGGCCAAAATGAAAAGAAAAGGGAAACATGTGCTGAAGACAGCTACCTCTAAGTGGGAGCTTCATATCCAGCAGATTGCTAAATAAAACCCTAGCAGGGGATACTGAGTCATTCTCAAGCCTAAGAAAGTAAAACGTTAAGTACTAATTCAGCTACTTACCAATAACTGTATGACCTGAAAGTTTCCTAACTTTTCTGGTATTAATCTCTTCATGTGTTCACAGAAATGCCAAATACCCTATTTATTTCAATAAATTGTCCTGAGGATCAAATTAAGTATAAAGAATGAAATAAATGTAAAAGTATCTATTTGATGCTTACATAGCTTTAAATAGTAATGGCTTGCAGTGTTGCAGAAAGCAAAGGGCTGTCACAAATGTATTTTACATTTGGAGAGACAGACAGAACAAGCAGTATTATTCTGATTTTCCGGATTTTTTTTAAAAAAGTTTCAAAGAGCTTCACAGACTTGCTCTTCAAGGCTACTCAGTAGTGATAGAACTGTTTCAAGCTCAGGGCTTCCAGGTCAGGCTGTTTATATACTTTATATCTGCTCTGTCTGTCCCTGTCAACATGGTTAATTAGTTATCTCTCAGAAGAGAGGATCTATTTACCCAACTTTATAGAGCTTCCTGGAATCTAACTTAAAAACTATTCCAGTGAATGGAAACATGAGGAAGAAAAAATCACCAGGGCTGCTGTATACAGTGTTGTAGGGAGCAGCACATAGCTAGCTTCATGTGCATACATGCATGTTTAGGCAACACATGCCTAAGGCAACGCCTGCCAGTGAAGAAGCATGCAATAAGTATTTGAAAAATGATTTGTGCTCCAGATAGGGAAAAAAGGGAATAAGACAGCAGACATAAAACATAAACCATATTCAAAATGGAGCCTTAATAATGAAATCAGAAGCCACCTAACTTCAAAAGCTAAAAACACATGTATGTGGGAAGCATTATAGGTATTACAAAATTTAGTACTGGTGCTGCAACATCTTATGGTGGCAGTTCTCAAAAGCCAGACTATGTTGCATTACCTGGGATGCCTATTAAAGTGCAGATCCCTACACTAACATACTGCTAAAGAGGCCAATTTGGTGTGTCTGGGGTTATCCTCAGAAATCTACATTTTAATAAGCACCACCAAGAGATTCTTATGCATTGGACACATTCAAAAAAATACCCATACACTAAGGCATCTGTAGTATATTTTTTTAATTTAATTTTTCATTAGCATAAATTAACTGTACAAAGGGATTTCATAGCGATATTTACAACATACGTAATGTACTTTGATCAAATTCACCCCACCTATATTACTCTTTCTTAATCACCCCTCTTAACAGTTTTTGATGGGTTTGCATCTGTAGTATCTTAAGGTTGACCCTTAAAATGGTCATTTGAGTTCATTTTAAGTATAGTCACATGATATGTTACTTTGAGAAGAGTCCCAAAATTAAACAATGAGATTCACAATTCCAAAAATTTCATGTCTTCGAAGTGTTTTACATGCATGGACTCCAAAGCCGTGATGATCAAGGTCCTAAGCAGCCCTGATAACATCACTGTCCATGAGGCTGAAGGCACAATTGAATAACTATGCAAGAAAAATATCCAAAAATCTAACTAGCTTTACATGTTAATAAACCAACCATCACAAAAAAGCATGCAACTTAAATTGAGCTGGTAATCCAAAATTAGGACGGCACCACATGATGACTGTCACAGCAAAAGCAGTTTTCATTTGAACATACCAAAGGAGCTCAGCCATAGCAATGAAATAAGAACAGAATGCAAACACTCTGGGATTTATTAGAATTTTCCCTTCCTCTTCAAGAGGGAGGAGAAACCCTTTTAAAAAACAGATTTATCTAATCATTGCTCAGTGTCTGAGTTTTAGTTCAGTCTCCATTATTCAAAATATTTTTAAAACTGCACAGGTGGGTCAAATGACTGTTCTGGTTCATCTTGATTTTGAAAGGAATGAATTTCATCACCTACATAAGGATTAAATTCAGAAAACGTCATGGAAATGTAATCCTCAACAGGTGGTTCCCATTCTGGCAAATATGAGTTACTCTCTACCTAAAGGGGGAAAAACAATTGCCCAGCTTTCTTCCCTCGCTTGACCATCTCTTTATTTAAACAGACATTATATATACAAGCTGGGTCAGATATACTGGCTGCCCAAAGTGAACCTTTTCTTTTTTGTTGGGGGGGGGAGGGAGGTACATATAATAAAAGCTTTCTCTGATAAACCCGAAAACTGCAACACAATTGTGTAATTACGTGTCATGATGCCACTCCTATATCAACCTCTTAGTCTCATGAAAAATCAAAACCTTTACTTCTTGTCCAAATTCAATATGCAAAATACTAATTAAAAACTCTGAAAAGAGCATACAACCACATCAAAGTTCCTAATGGATCCAACACTATTATTATATGCAGTATCTATACACTGAATTCAGAAAACTAGAACTGAAAGACTAAATATAAATATGGGCTTTGAGGTCAAAGGAAAAGTGTGGTCAGTGTCTATTGCCATAATAAACTATTAAATATTTTTCACATTAACCCAATACTCTAAATCACTTTCAAAAAAAGGCTGCAGATGTTCTGTTCCAGCCATTACACTTTGGCCACATATACCAATACCATCTCCTATTCACAACAGAGGCCCTAGACTTGGAGCCAGAAACCTCAGTTTTGACTAATTGCTCTGCTACCTCCTAATGGAATGATGTAAGACATGTTACTCATCTCTCTCAGCCTATCTTCACATTTGCAAAATAGGATATAGCTTTATCTACTTTGAAAGTTGTAAGAGTAAATGAAATAGGGTACATGAAAAAACTTATGAATTCCTTTTTTAAAAAATCATTTGGTTATAAAAGAGTCTTACAATCATTTCTCCATATTCAAAGACTGAAAAAACAAGCACTTTACCTCAGCCAAACACCCAAGATGGCAGGCAACTAACCTAAAAAGGAATGCAAAGAAAAGGCAGATAGTGTTTCTTCTAGGCTTGCTGCCATATTTCATTTAGGCACACCCGAAACTCTGAGTCGACCTTTATTTTCATGGCTGCACTAATTTCTATGTCAAGATGTGTAGCCATGTCTTATGAGTCAAAAATAATCACATAAAAACCATGAAAGCCAGATTTTATTTTTCTTAAGCCTTAGGCCAAGAGAAGAGCTGTGCTCTGTTTTATGCTCATTCCTACTTCATTATGCCATTGCAGGTTATAAAGCTGGGGAAAAGAACAAAACACTTACAGCTGCAGACACTATCTGGGCAGAAATTCCCTTCAGAAGTGAATGTCGCATAACTGATCCATGGAGTGAAAAAGAATCTGGTAATTTCTTCTTCCTAAAAAAAAAATGAAAACGTTTAAGAACAGACGAAAACATTGAAAAGGCATTGAAAGAAGAAAAGCAGAAAATAACAATGTTTATAATTTGTTAGCTCTGTTTTAAAAACACATATAAGGACTCTAACAGTCCCACATTAAGATGTGTTCCAAACCCACCCTGAACCTCAAAGAAGCACAAATAGGAAAATGAATAAAATCACCATTCCTATGCATAAATCACATAGCAACAGGCTCTGCTGTTCTCTAGAGGGCTGCCAAGGACTGTTTCTCCTGACCTATGTGTCTGTATTACCTCCACTTGCCTTCTTCTCCCTCCCTTCCTTTCTTGCCCTCCTTCTGTCTATGATCACCCCTCCTATTCTTCAACCAACCACCTTCTCAATGCCCTACTCATTACTCACTCTGCTGCTCCTACTAAAAGCTCCTTGCACTTATACTACTCATCATCATTCAAAAAGTAATTTTTAAACTCTTACCAAACATTGTTGAGTGCCTACTCTATATGGCTAACAGTACAACTCTAGAGATACAAAAAATAAGGAAGTCATAGTTCCTACTTTCAAGGACCTCATAGCTTAGTTAAAGGGACTGATAAATAACTCTTAAAGGATAAATGTTACACCAGAAATATTAGTATAGAAATGCAAATGAAGAACAGTTTACTTTTATTTATTTGGGGGATACCAGGCATGGCTATCAGAAAAGAGGAAACATCTGATTTGGCCTTGATGAATAACTGAGAGTCTGTCAGGCAAACACATAAGCAGAAACATGAAGACATTAAGGTGCACTGTGTATTTGGGGACAAATAGGCATGGACTGGGCTGGAGTGGGAGTGCTCAGAGACAAGCTCAAAGCAGTAAGCAGGACCCAAATGACACCACACCTTTTAAGCAGATGGTGACCAGATCATCAAAAACATTTAAGTTCTCTGTTTGTAGGATACAGAGATGAACAGGTGAACATATCCAGCAATGGTCCCTACCTCACAAGAGAGATGACCTAAAGATACAGACAAAATTTAAGAGGAGAAAAAATACACGGATAACATTCAACATTAAAGTTGCACATGAATTCAATAAAGTATTTATATTATGCTTCCTTCACTTCTCTTTCTTTTCATGTTCTCTCCAAGAATTTGGAAGGTATAAAGCAGCCAAAACTGAAGTTATTTAGGGTTAGAAGGTTTTTTTCCCAAAACATTAATCATCTTTGTGATTCTCCTCTGAAGCTACTTCAAGGGATGAAGAAATGCTGGAGATGACCTTAGAGAGTGGGGATGAAGGGGGAAGTACAGGAAACAGGTTGACGAAGCTCCATGTTTCTACCACAAACAATGTGCCATGTTTGATTTTTACTCCCTCCAAGGCCTCTTCTGTTGCTGGGAATCTCTAGCAATTTTTTTTAGTTTTTGGAGTTGGTCCATATGGGTTTTTTAAAATAAATTTTTATTAGGATATATTCATTATACATGGGGGGGATTCACAGTGACAATTCCGATTAGACTTATGTTGTACTTTATTTACATTGCCCCCAACATCTCTCCTCCTCAACCCGCTCTTCACCCCACTTTCTAGCTATTTTTGTGGCTTCTTACTGGGGGTTCAAAAGACAGTGGTCATAGAGCCCACCTTTTTATCTTCTCCCCCAACAGTGAGTACCAAATATTTAGGATCTAATAAGTGTATTATTTCCATACAAGTAGACCTTCTACTCCCCGTGAAGGGTGTCAACAGACCATACTGTACTATAAAGAGTTACTGATATTTTAAATGATCAAATATTTCAACCATATGCAAGTATAATTTACATGAATATTTACCTTTTTAAGTTGGTCCTGTCACCACTGTCTGAGCTTGCCACAGATGACGTATCATAGGAGTGAGAATCGATAGTATCAATGTTTAACAATGTAGGATCCTCAAGAACAAAGGACTCATCTTCATCATCTGTCTAAATCAAAAGAAAACAGAACAATAAATTCAAAATTCCAAGTCTTCTACGAGACAACTCAGACAGGCATTAATAAGTTTCTCCAAAAACACTCAAGTGCTTATTTCTGCTTCTTACTTCTATTCATACATTCTTATTCACCAGAGAGGCATGATACAGAATTACCAAAATTAAATTTCAACTCTACACAGACATCATTCTTTACAAAGAGTTCTACCAAAACCTTTTCTCTTACAGCAGGAAGAAGCAGGACCAGTTGTACAGATTATTGTTAGCTGCTGAATAGTTCTTAAAATTTAAGCCTGTACAGATGATTTACTAGTTAATTAACAGTCAGTGGTTAATTGAAAGAAAATAAATACCTTTAGACTATAGTTTACCATGAGAAATATGCATTTTGGTAGGACATAGCATTTACAGACACACTGATTTCATAATGTGGATCTTGGAAAACAAAGTAGCCAAACACGGCTAGAGTACATGAGTGGAAGCTGGAGATGATCAAGACAGATAAGCCGGAATCCAAATCGTAAAAAAGTCACAGTCCATTAAGGTGGGTGGCAGCAGAACCCATGTCTATCATGTCTGCCACGGTACCCACAATGCCGAATATAATGATTGACAATCAGAACTCATTTATTTAATGAATTAGTATACTATACATATTAGACAGTGGGAAGACAAATGAAATTTTGAAGAAGTGGAGAGACATGATGAGAACCATGTTTTAGAAAGAAAAATGGGGCCATATGAAGAATGGATGAGGAGAGAGAGAGAGAGACTGAGGCAGGGAGATTACTAAGAACCAGGAAGAGGGCTATTGCAATGTCAAGAAAAGAGAGGAGATACCAGCAGAGGAATGCAGCAGAAGCTGAGAGGGAATGATGAAAGAGACATTAATGTGACAAAATTGAAAGTCCCTGGTCATAATTTAAATGGGGGAAAGAGACAGGAAAGGGAGAAGTCGAAGATTCCATGATTTCCAGTTAAGTAATGAGGAAAAGGTGATATCACTGAAATTAGAAAGCACATAAATAGGGCTGGCAGTGTGGCTCAAGTGGTAAAGTGCCCGCCTAGCAAGTGAAAGGCCCTGAATTCAACTCCCAGTACTGCTAAAAAAAAAATGCACATAAATAAAGCAGGATGAGGAACTGGCTTTGTGTAAGTTGATTTAACAGACATTAAGAGCAATGCTCTGTTCCTACCTTCTCTTACAGCTGCATTTCCAGTGTTCTTGAGAAAGTAAAATTTATGCTCATTATCTCCCCTTTCTCCACTCATTCCAAACTACTGACTACTAACTTTGCTGAGTTAGTAGCCACTGGCCTGTTTTTGTCCTCCATGCATCATTAAACCCTGTGGACCACTCTCTACTTCTTGAAATTTTCTCTCTCCTTGGTTTTCAGGAAACCTATCTGTCCTGGTTCTCCTGCAACTTACATAACCCCTGACCAGTCCTGTTCCTTAGCCTCTCCTCAGCCATGCATTAAATGTTGGTCCCAAGAATTATATTCACATACTTCCTATTTGAGCAAATCCATCCACAACTATGGCTTTAAGTACCATGTGCTAATGACTGTGAAATACATGTTTTCAGCATCAACATTTTTCTTGAGGTTTAGGTCTGTATTTACAACTGTTTTCCAGATATCTCCACATATATGTCTACTAAGAAAACTGTTAACAATTGGCAAGGAGACATTATATTACTTTAGAGCTATAAAAGATTGGAACAATTGCTATAGGAAAAGGAAATAATTCAGAAATAAGAAATGCAGCACCAAGGTTTTAAGTAAGAGAGCCAATCGAAACTTTATTTGGTTTTCTTAAGCAGCCTGGGGATATAATTAAGGAAAATACATCAGCTGAATGAAGCCAAACTTAAGTGAAAGAAAAAGTGGAGAAAATATAAGAATAGAGTATGGTAAGACTGAATTTAAAACAACTGCCACAGTATAGCGATATCAAATTTCCCCAAACTGATATGTAAAATCTACACAGTCTTACCAAATTTCAGTTTTTGTGTGTGTGTAATTTTCTAAAATTTATATGGAAGTACAAAAGACCAAGAATAAGCAAGGTGACAAAGGACAACAAAGTCGCAAGATTTAAAACTACCAGATATCAAGCCCTATTATAAAGGTTTTATCATTAAAATGATACTGGGGCAAGTATAGACAGACCAGTGGAATCAGATCCACACATGATCACTTGATCTACAATAAAGGTGACAGCACAACCAATACATTATACATTAGTACATATAAAAATTCCAGATGAATTATAGCTCTAAATGTGAAAGGCAGAATAATTTTTTTTTTAAGATACTGAGGTTTGAACCCAAGGCCTTGCACTTACTAGATAGATGCTCTACCACTTGAGCCACACACACCCCCCCCCCAGTCCTTTTTTGCTTTATTTTTATCCCTTTATTTTAGCCTTTTATCTTTATTTTTGAGATAGGGTCTCACATTTTTGCCTGGGGCTGGCTTCAGACAATGATCCTACTTTTCCCTCCTACATAGCTGGAATTACAGATGTATACCACCATGCCTAGCTTATTGGCTGAGGTAAATTCTTGCTAACTTTTTGGCTGGCCTCAAACTGTGATGCTCCTGATCTCTACCTCCTGAATAGCTGGGAGGAATAATAAAGATTTAGAACAAAATAGGATAACATCATTATGACCTTGGAACTGGCAAAATTTTCTTAAATAAGACACACAAAAAAATTAACCATAATGGAAATGATTAATAGGCTGAACTATATTAAGAACTTCTGCTCATCAAAAGAAACCATGGGCAGGAGGAACTCAAGATAGAGATTGGGAGGACTGTGGTTCAAGGCTATCCCAGGCAAAAGTTAGCAAGACCCCATCTCAACAAAATAATCTGAGTTGTGGTGGTAAATGCAGATCATCCCAGCTACGTGGGAGGCTAGAGGTAGGAGAATCAAAGTCCAAGACCAGCTCCAGATAAAAACACAAGACCTTATCCAAAAAATATTAACTAAAAAAAAAAAACAAACCCAACTCAACAGAATTAAGTGGACTAAAGACACAAAAAGGCTTTTCACACACACACACAAAAATCCAAATCACCAAAATGTATGTCAAGGCTTCCAATTTCATCAGTCCTCAGAGAAATTCAAATTAAAAGCATGATGTGACACCACTGTATTCCTTTCTAAAAGCATGAAAGGCTAAAGTGAAAAGAAACATTCAAAAATTGACAAGTACATAAGTAACCAGAATGCTCATATATTGCTCCTGGAAGTAAAGATCAATACAACCACTTTGAAAAATATGGCAGTATTCTTGAAAGGTAAATATAACCACACCTAACACTCATCAATTCTACTCTTAAGCATATGCCCAAGAGAAATATGTGTCCGTGTGTGTGGCATCTTTTAGTATGAACTAAAAGATATAAATAAGAATATTCTCATCAGTACTCTTCACAGTAGCCAGAAACTGGAAACTATATAAATGCTTATCAATAGTACAATGAATAAATAATGGTATATACACAAAGAATTTTATACAGTAACAGGAATAAACTATTACACACAAAAAATAATGGGAATAAACTATTATTCACAAAAATATGACTGAACCTAAAAACATAGTATTAAAGGAGAACGACAGGGGTGAATTTAACTAAGATATATTATAAGCACTTTTGTAGAGGTCACAGTGTACCCCCAGTACAACAATAATACAGTAATTTAAAAATTAGAAAAAAAACGCAGTATTGAGGAAAATAAACCACACACACACAGCACACACTCCATGTATGTACTATTGTGTCTGTATAAGAGCACAGGAATAAAATTCAAAGCAGACAAATCAATCAATGCTTGTAGAAGTTAGGACTGTAATTACTCTGGGGTTGAGTACCAAAGGGACACAAGGGGACCTTCTCACGTGCTAGTAACGTTTCACTTCTTTCTCTGGATTCTGATTACACGGGCTGCTTAGTTTGTGAAAATTCACCATGCTATACATTTAGTTTGTGAACCCTTCTGTGTATATGTTATACTTCAATAAGTAGTTCAAAGACAGGCTAGGTGTGACAGTACACACCTCTAATCCCAGCTATGTGGGAGGCAGAGATGGAAAGATCACAGTTTGAGGCCAGCCCAGGCAAAAGTTAGCAAGACCCTATCTCAAAAAAAAAGCATGATGGTGCATATCTGTGGTCCCAGCTACACAAGAGGTAGAGATAAAGGGGTTGCTGGGTGAGGCTGGCTGGGACAAAAAGCAAAAGACCCTACCTGAAAATAACTGAAACAAAAAGTCTAGGGGGTGTGGCTCAAATGGTAGAGCATCTGCCTAGCAAGCACAAGGCTCCGAGTCAAACCCTAATAATGCAAAAAAAAAAAAAAGTTCAAAAGACATTTTTGGCTATACAATAAAAAGAGAAACTTGTCTTAATAAAGGTCAAAGAACAAGTGTAATGGAAGTAAGGGAATGGGGAAAGTTATGGTTAGATAATGGAATTTCAAACTTAAAAATCTCAGAGGGAACACACCTTCAAAGAATAATAAGGCTTAGTAATATTTCATGTCCTAAGTTATCAGATCTAGGCGGTGTCAGTAATCACTAACCTTTTTTTTTTTTTAAATGTCTTAGACATCCATTTCTTCCCAGTCTCCCTTAAGACTGGCATTAGTGAATGTTATACAATGTATGCATCCATATATCCTAGAGCAAGGGCTTCTTTACACTTCTGTCCTTTTTGATTTTTTAAATCATTTTTAATACTCCTCCTCTATAGTCTTCATAATGGTCTACAACTGAAATTATTCTTTCTTTATCTACCAGTGTACCTTGCTGGAGGTGTAAAGGTTGGCCTATTTCCACTCCCATTTCTCTCTCAAGGACAAAGACAGTCATATAACACTTTACATTAACCCCAGCATCTAACAGCACAACCCAAACACAATAAGCACAAATTATACTGAGAGGGATAACAGTATTATCTTCTCTGAGAGCCACTAATGACAGTATTTACTGTTACTCAGAGATAAGAAAGATGTGCAAGGACTTCAGTTTGCCTTCATTATAAGCCATACTCTCATTCATATAGGGCATTATTTTCTTTACCAATGTTGTATAAAATGTACAAATAGGGCTTCATACATAGGCCTCAAACTTTTATTTCACATGTAGTAAGAAAATTGAAATGAAGATGCAATTAAGACCATGTTAACAAAACTAAGATTCACTTTCTCATCTTTAAGTAGAACATCTTCTCTATATTAGAAAACAATAAGTAAAAGACATTTCACTGTATCAAGATATTCTCTCAGGGCCCAATGCTGCCTTTGTCAAAACTAAAAATGCTTAAGTCTTCAAACAGATTATACAAAATATTTTTAAGTTAAAATACATTCTAAATAATGGCAATATCAAACTGATAATATAAAAACAGAAACCAAAGTCATACAAGAAAAAGATACAGTTCACAGAGAAAGCTGTTTGCATCTTATGAAATACTGCCTACAACCCTAAAAGTACAGGTAATGAAGTGGCATAAACACAGGCCCATATACTCAGAGCAAAGGTATCAATGGGCATGTCCGTTGAGTTACCTTCGCTCCTTTATCTTTAAAGGAGCTAAAAAAGTCTTTCACAAATTAGAAAAGTCTGAAGTAAGGTTTTAAAAGTTCAAAAAGACTGAGCTGAAGGTTTGTCATCAGTACATAGAAACTGGCACACAATTTACACACACATGTACTGCCCCAACTTCCTCATAATGCCTTTTAATATGCCAATTCAGGGAAGAATGACACCATTTCAAAGTGGGAAAACTTTTTAATAGAGTTAGCAGTCATGAGATAAATAACGTAGGTTTTGTTTCCTTCGTGTAGAAGAGTGATGAAGCTCATTGTAAGGTTGCAAGATCCTCTTTAGTGTCACAAGATGAGTTATTTGAATTATCATTGGTAGAGATAACTGAACATTTTCAACACATAGTACAAATCTCAAAAGTGACATGAATTTAGTATTTCAATTCACTTAATAAAACACAGACACACACAATTTCAGTGCTGGGGCTTGAACCAAGGGCCTCGCATGTGCTCTACCACTGAGCCACACTCCCAGCCCTAATGAAATAGATTTTTAAAAATCTACCTAGTATTAGGCATTGTGCTGGGCAAAAGACTCTGAAGAGGAACAAGACATGGTTTCTGCTTTTGAGAAACTCATACTCTTGACCAGTGCTGTCCAACAGGCTTTCTGCAATGATGGCAATATTCTGTCTATGCTGTTCACTATAGTAAACACTAGCCACACATGCTTGTGAGCACCTGAAGTGTGCCTTGTGCAGCTGAGAAACTGAATTATTATTTAATTGTAATTAACTTAAATATCAAATTGACATGTGACTAGAGGCTTCTATATTGGATGTCTGTACCTAGATACATTCACTGTAAGTTAACTCAGAAGGTATTCAAATCAATACCATGAAGCGATAACGATTCTCAATATTTACTTACCTCATTTAGTATGCTTTCCAGTGTTGGAGGAGTATCAACTTGAGGAATATCAAACTCCTTGTCATCAATCTAAATAAAGAAAAGAAATTATGCTAACATAAAGATGCCTTCCCTCTTATAACGCCTCCTCATAACTATTGTCAATTAAAAGACAAATTTACCACCAAATGGATCATATAGTCAACTTAGTAATCCATGGTAATAAGGGTCAGATCAAAAGACTCTCAAGGACATGTGCGCACTGACTGTACCACCTCACAGCCCTTTTCAGAAAGCTGAAGAGCTTTTGCACCTGCTTTCTTCAACACAGCAAAACATCATGTTTCATGACAATCCATACTTCCTTAAGTTTAGACATAATTCATAAATGATATGCCAAAGTCTGACATGGTTTTTCTTAGTTATTTCATAAATTATGTAAGAGATGATTATGTCAAGCAACTTGTCATTAAATATTCTCATAGCCACAGAAACCCATTAACATACTATTCTGTCAATGAGGGAAATAGTTGCTATGCAACAGAAGAATTCTAAACCTACCATCAGTTCCACCACTTGAGAAGTCATTTAACATAGCTGCATGACAGTGTCTTCATCTATAAAATGGATTATCACAGTGTTGTGAGAGCTGTGGAGCTCAAATGACATCATGAGCCAAACTGTTCCATAAACTGTAATGGACTACATAAATGAACAGTAGTAATATCGCATAAAACTGTACATAGACTCCTACTAACCCATACAAAAAACGATAGGTTTAGAATGTTTGGGTCATAAAGCACATGGTAACCAACACTGTGGTTAAAATCATCACTTGACAAAAGTTGAAATTTTACCAGATCATTTTTGAACTCCAGTTCCTTGTCCAGATCTATGTAAGAGAATTTTGAAAGTGAAGCTTCTAGACTGAAAGACTTGTTTGGTTCTTCTTCAGTAGTCTTGACACAGAGGTTCTGGTCCACAATCTCATGGTCTGGTTCACCTTCCATATTTATTTTAATAACTGTATTCAGTCAATCCAAGCAAGTGTTTGTTTTGTTTTGATTTCAGATTACAACAACCTGAATGACGATCTCTTTGGGGGGAAAAAAGAACCATTTAGATTTCCTCTTGTCAACTGGATATTCTAAAGACTTACTTGGTCAGACTTCACTCAGTCATGTGGTTAGAGGCAAACAGAAATAGATACTGGGGTACAGGGTATTATATGGGGCAAAGGTTTCTATGGGAACACTTAACTCCAATTCAAGGATCCTAGAAAGTGACCCACTACCCAAGTCATGAAACTGATAATCAGTCATGAAACTTGGTAGGTGCTAGACCTGGTGCCAAGAAGATTTAAGTACCTAACAGCATGAGGGCAAATTGATGCCAATAGCCGCAATTAATCCCTTCCTTATGTTCCCAAAGCTCCCAGATGGCTTTCCAGATACCCTAGAGATAATCTCATATATATAGCTTTGTTGTTGTCATCCACATGGGGCCACAGATGTTTCAGAGATACATAGACAACAAGAATAGAAACTTAGTTATTTAACACAACATTGGCACATTTGAAGGTTCAGCTCTGTTAGGGGAGAGAGCAGTAACTGCAGGATAAAATACACACCCTACCAGAGATCTCTAGAAAGAAAGCCAGTCAGAGAAACATGGACATTTTCAAGGCAAATTAAGTACCAAAGGAAAATAGAAATGTATACATTTTTTATATATTTCACAGTTCTAAACAGAAGTTTATTATATCAAAAACAGGTAATTTGGTATACTTGCAAAAGTGTCATTTCTAGAAAGCTAAAAATGTTTTTTAATTCTTGTAAGTTTAATAATTAAATTTTCATTTAAATGTTTAGGTTGTTTCAAGAAGCTTAAAATTCACTTAGCTTTGCCTGTTTAGAATAAAGTAAAAACATGAAAACAGAAACAAAGCCATAGTAACAATGACTATAAAAATAAGTCATTTTGTTTCTTAAACTAGGTGTTCTCCACAATTCAGTTTCTTCCCCTTATCTACATTTCACTTTCTATAGTTTCAGTTATCCACAGTCAACCACAATCTGAAGATATTAAATGGAAAATTCTATAAATAATGAGTTCCTAAGTTTAAGTTGTGTGTTATTCTCAGTAGTGGAATGAAATCTTGAACTATTGGGCTCCATCCCCCTGGAGACATGAGTCATCCCTTTGTCCAGCACATCCACACTGTATATGCTACTCACCAATTGGTCGCTTAGTTCCCATTTTTGTTATCAGATTGGCTATCATGGTATTGCAATGCTTCTGTCAAAGTAACTCTTATTTTACTTAACGAGAGCCCCAAAGCACAAAAATAGCTGCCAATTCAAGGATATACTAAAGAGAAGTCACGAAGTGCTCATTTAAGTAGAAAGGTGAAAGTTCTCAACTATATAAGGAAAGAGTTGCTAAATTCATAAATTCTATAGATAACTCTTCATAAATTCTATAGACAAATCTTCTATCTGTAAAACTACAAAGAAAGAGAAAAAAGAAATTTGTGCTAGTTTTGTTTTCATGTCTTAAATGACAAAAGTTACATCTGTAAAGTGTTTAGTCATTCACCTCTTTTTATCTCATAGGTACTGTATTATAAGAAGGATGAGTATAGTACAATAAGATATTTTGAGAGAGCAACCACGTTCATATAACTTGCATTTCAGTGTACTATAACTGTTCTATTTTATTAATCTCTAACTGGCTTAATTTATAAATTAAATTTTATCATAGGTATGTATATAGGAAAAATATTATATATACAGTTGGCTCTCCATATCCATGGGTTCTGCACACATGGATTCAACTAACCACACATTAAAATATTTAAAAAACAAACAAAAACTAAAATGCTTTTGTACTAAACATGTATAGTTTTTTTTAGTTTTGTCATTATTTTCCTAACAATACACTATAACAAGTATTTACATAGCTTTTACACTGTGTCAGGCAGCATAAGTAATCTAGATATGGTTTGAAGTATTCAGGAGGATGTCTGTAGGTTATCTGTAAATATTATTTTATATAAAGGACTTGAGCATCCACAGATTTTGGTGTCATCAGCAGAATACAGGAACCAATGCTCCACTGATACTGAGGGACAATTGGACAGGGTTTGGTACCATCCACAGTTTCAGGTATCAGCTGGGGAGGACTACTGTACCAAACAACCAGTGTGATGCTCTTACAAACTACACACTGACCAACACACTTCTACCAGTAGTCCTTGGCCCCACAGAAAATTTTGTTCATATTATTCCTTAGTGAAGTAAAAGAAGAAAAAAAACAAAAAAAGGTGCGACTAACAACCACTGAAACACAGAGAAAACTTAATTTTTTAAAGTGAACTGAGGAGGGTTGGGAATACAGTTCACTCAGTAGTAAAGCCCTAGCATTTGCAAGGCCTTTGCTTCAATCCCAAGCACCACAAGATAGAATGGGATGGGATACAATAGAAACAGGAATAAAATAAAATAAAGCTGAGATTAGCTGTTTTGAAGTAGCATGCCCAAAACTTACTGACAATTTTATCTAATGAGGATTATTCTTAGTACCTATAATTAATCTCACATCCTTCAATGTTTCTTTTTTATGGTATTAAGTGAAATGAATATCTAATATGTGGAAGACATGCACTCAAGAAAACTGATTTTTCAAGAACTGAAACCACCGTTTTTAGTACATTTCACATCAGGAAATAAACTCTAATGCTCTGTCCTGCAAAACACATGCATCAAAACATTACTAGCGGGTATAACTGAAAGCCTCTGTCTGGCAACATTTGAAAGTATCTTTCCACATTAGGTACTAAATGTATTGCTCCCTACTAATGAGCCAAATGCAGTAGTAATAGTACTGCTTGTATACCTTTCTTCAAAGAAGACTAAATTGACTCATGACAAATATCTGTTTAATAGCCTCTCACTATTATCTGGACCACTAAGCAAAAGTGGCTACAATTATTCAAGAAATAGTCATAAACATGTATAATCTAATTCACATTCAGTAGACCCCCCCCAGGACACTAATTAACTTTTATTCTTCTGCAGTTTTTTAAATAGTGGAAAAGATCATATAGAAAGATGAAAAAAAAAAAAAGGAAAACAACTCTAAATAATAATCTAAAATGCTTCATACTTCACATTTGTCTTTCCAAAATAACTCAAGAATGAAAATGATTTTTCCCTCTGCCTTCTTTTATCTCCTTTCTGGAGTCAAGAGGCTCCAAGACCAGGTAACAGTTCGGCATCAAGGAACACCAATATCCCACTCAAGAACTGTCATGTGACTAAGAAAAGAGCATCACCCTGCCCGTTGCCCTGTTCCATTTTCAAAGTTCACGTCACTGAGCTCTTTTCATTGATGTGATGGTAAAGTGGAAAAAGAGCCCATTAGTATCAGGCTTAAATCTGGACTTTGCCAATTTGGTTGGGTTTTTTTGGTGGTATTAGGGTTTAAACTCAGGTTCTCACACTTGCTAGGTAAGCACTCTACCAACTTGGGCGATTCTGCCAGCACAAAAACATCAAACCAATCTTTTTTTTGGCGGGGGGGGGGTAGTTGGTTACCCATTCTGAACTCTTTTATTTTATGTCTATAAAATGGGATAGTGTAGACATTTGTGTTGTTTGCTCAGCAAGGCACCTGTTGTTCTCCAGGGCTCCTTCAAACCAAGTGTTTTTTGAGAAGACTGCCAATTAAAAATCCCGTAGGGCAAGAGTTTGGGATTTTGCGATATAACCAGAGTCCTTCATCAGGATTCATTAAACTGGACCTAAGGAGGAAGCACCACCTCCACTGTTTTCCAAACAATGAATAAAAAGGCCGAGCAATCCCTACACTTCCCACCCCACTCTCTTCTGTGTAAAAAAAAAAAAAAAAAAAAAAAGTCATTCATTGACCACATGTCAACTGAAAACCTACTATGCATCTATCACTGGCAACCCACCTTTACTGACAGAATTTAAATTCTAGGTACATATTCCCTAGCAAGAATGAAATCAATCTAAAAAAAAGCAGATAAGAGGAAAGAGAACCCTGATAATACTCAAGGCTCTAGTCTTTCCAGAAGTTAGCTCTCTACCCATACCCTTCTGGAAGTTTGGCTATATTAGACTAACATACTATCCCTTCACCATTTTCATTTTTCTTTTTTATCACAATTGAGTCTGGACTCTGAAGACTGCAATTACCTCTCTTACAAAACTACCATGAGGAACAAATGATATAGTAACAGTAAAGCATTTAGAATAATTCCTAAACACACAATAATTTTCAAGAAATATTAGCTATCATCATTCACAATTTCCTCAAGATTTCCAAATTCTTCTGAAGTTAAAGACTCTAAAACAATATCCAGTATTTTTGCAAAGGTCGAGCCAGTACTAGGTGTATAAGACAGATACCTTCTGATATGTCCAGCAGTTTCTTCATAAGCTGAACCATAGGGACTGTCTGAGACTAGTACAACCTCCAGCAAAGTTATCAAAGGCACTTTGATAATTTATACTTCCAACTCATTCTAGAGTCATGTCTGAGCTTTTCACCTCAACATTAGTCTACACTTTGTCAATGAAGTTGCCGATGTCCCTATCCTTAGTTCCTCTTTTGCCTCTTAGCAATTACTTCTTCACGTTGAGCAGCAAGTTTTTCTCACTCAAATAGATCTACTGGATCAAAAGTTATCATGTTCAGGCATTTGTTTTGTTTTTTTAAAGAAGAAATCACTACTACAGCATCTCCCAAGAATTTTTCAAAAGTCAGGAGAAGTTCTCTAAACTATCTGTGGTAGAAAGAATGATGATGTCCAGTGACGTCAGTCCTAATTTCTGGAACCTGTGAATTTGTTACTTCACATTGCAGTGTGATTAAGTAAGGACCTTAAGATGGAGAGATTATTCTGGATTATCTAGGTGGGCCCAGTGTAAGTACATGGGTCCTGAAAAGCAGAAGACAGAGGTGGAAAATAGTCAGAAAGTCAGAGAAAGCAATGTGACAACAGAAGCAGGATTGGAAAGATGTTTCTTGTAGGCTTTGAAGCTGGGGGAAGGGTGCCAGGAGCCAAAGAAGGCAGGTACCCTCTTCTACAGAAAATGGAGTCTGTTTTACAGCCTCCAGAAAGACCAAAGCTCTGTCCTCACACTTTGAGTTTTAGTGAGACAGGTGTCAGACTTATGAGTTATAGAACTAAAATAATAAATGTGTTGTTTTAACTCACTAAATTTGGGATCATTTGTCTTGATGGCAACAGGAAATGTATACAGCAACATTCAATATACCAACTTCAATTAATTTGTTTCTGGCACATCTCCAATATTCCCCTCCCTTGTCAGTTGGTGTTGCCCTCATATTTATTGAGCAAGCTCTTTATTCCAATATACAGACTGATGATGAAATGCTTAATATATCATGCTTAGTATTACATCCTTTATGCAGATACTGCTCAGATATCACTTAAGCACTATTCCATTTGACAATGAACCATTCATCACTTCCTTTTTAAATGGAATTCTACAACTAGTTCTTCACCCAACTATCATATGACCTAGTATTTTTGTAATTCTTAGGGAGGGGGTGCCATATCAGACAGTACTTGCAGACAACACAACAGATTACATCAACTATTTCTCTGTCTCTCCTAAGATGAAATCAGATTAATCTGATAGAAAATATATGTCACAGAATCATGATTACCAATGATGCTGTTAAACTAGTAAGAGTTCAGATTTAAGATTATCTGACAGCTTGATAATTCTCAAGGTTATTCCCAACCAATTAATAATAGAGTCGAGGATCATTTTTCAAAATAAAAAAGATATGCACCATATAAACAACAATGACCCCATTATTACACTGGCCAACTGAGTAACAGCTGAAGAATGTGGCCTACGTTGAACTAGGTTAACGTGAATCTCTTTCACCAATTTTTTTTTTTTAAACTGTAGCAAACATTTCCAACTGTTCTTCAAGTTCCAGGATCCTGTAATTCTCTGATATTCTTTCTTTCTTAAAGTGTTATGACTTATCTCAACTAGCAAAAACCCTTAGTCCTTCCTATTATTGCCTATACTCTCTCTTCAACAA